CAAATTGTAACGCTGCTCTTTTGCGTAGGAACCCTCCAATTGAAAATAAATTAGTCAACCTTTTCAGTTATTATGGTTGTATTTTTATTTTTTTTCATAGGAGCTTTAGCAATGACAAAATCGAAAACACTGCCGATCGCTTACAAAGTTTTTTACCTGAATAGAATTGAATGCAGCTCGCTTAGCTATTGATTACTAATTTCTAAAAAAATTTTACTCCTCAAAGGTTATGGCAAGTCGTGATCAAGGGACTGTTAGTGAAAACAAAATTCACACAAGAATCAGATTCCATTTGCCAGACGACAAACCAAAGACTATGTTAAATAACAATTGGCAGAAACAGCAGCCAGTGAACAAACGATCTACTCGTCTATCTTGGCTGCTCAGATTCTTCAGGCGAAGACCACTGACTGCTCTATTTGTGAGCACTGCTATTCTGGCAGGCTCTGTCCCTTGTATGCTATTTCTTGGATTCGTTTTCGTCACTTTTATCGTTTCGTTTGTTGTGTTCGTAATAGCGGAGTCCTCTTTGGTTGGCGCGGGACTCTTTGCCTTAGTCTTAGTCCTCTCTGTGCCCTTGTGTTGCGCGGCAGCCTCGACTGCATGTTTACTTGCCTGTTGGTGGGCTGTCGGTTATCTCCAGGATTCTCTCTCCAATATGGTGGAGCCTGCTGAAACGATTTTTCATTACTTGGTGGGTGTCTATGTTCCTCGCAAGATAAGGAACTTAATTTATGCCTTCTAAAACCCGCGAGAAATGACTTAGAAGGACATGGGAGAATAATCCTCCTTGGCTGAGATTTATGGGAAAATAAAACCTCTAAGGAGAGACGTTATGTGACAAGTGCACCAAATTGATAATTTTGTAGCAGGGTGACTCGATTAAGTCTTTGTCGACTATAGCCTGTAACAGAATGACGGGAAATAAACAGGACGAGAGCACCTTTCCTCTGCAGGCAGTAATTGAACTAAAGCTGCGTAATCAAATTTAAGAGAATTTCATTCGTTTCCAAGCATAGTCGAGATATTTAATCTGAAGTTCTGTAGGGAAAAAAGAGCTTAAACTTAAATGCCGAAACTTACGTAGGTTTGCCATTTACGTTTTTCAGCCTCGCATACGTTTTCTTTCGGGAACGAACCTCAACTTACGATGGAACTGTTAGGAATCGGGTATAAGTCAGGGAATATTTGCCTTTTTAAAAAAAAAAAAAAAAACATCCAATAGTTGAAAACCTGTTTTAAGGGATATGGCCTGAATACTCCACACAGAAACAAACAAGCAAGCAAACATATAATTTTACAATTTAGGTCGCCCAGAGATTTGTTTATTCGTCCATTCATTTTTTAGAAGTAACAGGCTCTCCTGAAGCAATTATATCTTTTGGAACTGATGTCATTGAGGTCAGTTTCATAAAGTTATGTTATATTTGAAGCTCTCAGCCCTGTCGTATACTTTCACTGAATCATCGATCATGGAATCGGTTCTCCACGGCTGAAACATAACAAAACATGTCATTGATACAGCGACGCTTTGATATTAAATCATCAAAGGATCTAGAAAACCTGTTTTGCAAATAGGTCACAAATGCGAACGCACGGAAATAAATGTGTGAACTACCGTAACGCAAATGCAAACGTAAGTGCCGACTTAAGAAATAGAAATAATTTCATTTTCTGGCACTTGGATTTTTTTTTGTACATGTATTGTCTTGCACGGGTAATTTTCAAGTTACAACAGGTTGAGGTGTTTAAATAGCCTCAGACCCAAACAATGTTTATCAAGAAGGATGGTTGCAGAAGTTAACAGACAAGTAAATGACTGGATATACAATTTTATAGATGGATGAGGGAACGAACAGACAGACGAACGGTTGGAGGGTGGTTTGATTTATGGATTGATCGGAAATTTATTGATTGGTGATTGACTCATTAATTGATTTATATCCCGACTGATCAATCGATTGATAGAGAAAAAAGAAAGGAGGCGAGTCAACGAACACGCTAAATCTTATGTGAGGCTGGCTCTCAGTTCGAAGATTATTGTGTTTCCCGTGTGTGGCTGTCAAATCGCTTAAAAGATAGAAAGAAAGACATCGAGACAATCTGAACTATTTCTCTGTGCATATTCACCTGTACTTTTTACAGTTCGGCCATCGTGAGCCAGTGGATAATGGCTGAGCTCTCCAAGTCCCATCAGTATTACAAACATAACGCTCAGCAGCGAGGAATTCTACGTCATAACCGTGGTCACATTTCAGAGTGCACGACACTTCCTTAGTGGTAGTGTCTTCATGGCAGGTCAGACTACCATGGGCTGGTGAGTTCTGTCCTTTACATTTCAAACCTGTTAAGGAGGAGTTTACATTGAACTTCCAAACAATTACTCTAGATCTGCTCAGGAAGAAATCTTGAAAACAAACACTCAGAAATGAAGCATTTAGCCCGTTACTTACAGTGAAGAAAATTAAAGGATATACTATTCATTTGATTCATTTCGGCGTGGGAAAATGGAAGCAGATACTTTTTCTTACTTTTCATTTAATCGTAATTTTAAACTCTTCTGTCAGCCACTTGAAGCCGAAGAAATCGTTTTCCAAAACTACCACAATCATCGGCATAGACATAAGAATTATCTAAAACGTCGTTTCAAACGTCGCGCTATTAGCGTGCCAAGCACAATAGCAACACGACGCTTACAAGTACTTTTGGAAAGCCAGGCCCTACCGTGCCGCACTGCAGTATAGCACGACTTGATTTCAAACGGCACGCTCTTTGCGTGGCAAACTAATTTCAAGTGCGGGGATTGGACTTTCGTTTTGATAGTCGTTTTGATTGGGCGTGATAGAATTAGATTAGACATTTAAAAACCACTGTCGAGCTATACTGAATCAAGCCACTCTACTTGGTTTTCATTTGAGTTCTGTAAAGTAGGCCATACTAGCGACTATTTCGTCCAAGTCCGTACTGTCAGTTATGTATCTCCTTTCTGTTCCTATGAATTCTTGCCCTCTTGCTCTTAGTCCTTAAATCGAAGGGGAAAATACTCGGTCTGTAACTTACAATATGATTTCGAACTCGGTTAGCGGGAGGTGTTCATAGTCAAAACTGTCTTCTGCTCTCTTTTTTTGAGAATTCGAAAGCGGTATAGATATGAGGCTTTTCGTTTTTTTTTTCGAGAGAACGTGAGGGGCGTTGATTAAAGAAATAAACGAGATAAAGAAAATAGTAAATTCTTAACTGTCACAGATCCCAAAATATCAAATGATAAGCTTACTGTTTAAGTCGACAATGTCTGAAGAGATTTCTGGGAGCATAAGCCCAACAACAAACAACACCTTGAAGTACATTTTCTTGAAATTCGTTCCCGAGTTTGATACGTGGTTCGATTTTTTTTCTCGCGGCCAGCACGTCTTATAGTAACTCGATCCCTTCAAGAAATCCGAGAGCCTCGTGTGGATGTAATAAACATCCCGAAAGTTTTTTTTTTTTTTTGATAGCAGGCGTAAGTAAACACAAATTAGAACTAAGCAAACAATGCGAGAGACTGTCTTTGTAAAGCTTCGTGTTTCTGACTATTTTTCAAAAACTACTGTTTACTCCTCTGCAGGTGAATACCTGAGTTATTTTATTCTAAGACAGGTCTTGTATTCATACCTCAAGAAATTCGTACCGACCCATCTAGTTTTTACCAAATTGTCGCACTTGTGATAAGTATTTTTACAAAAGGTATAGATAAACCTATGGAATAGGGTTCCTTACCACTGAATGTCACAACAGTTAATAACATGAATATTGGACTATTCACGTCACCTGACAGCTGTGATAACGGGAAAACAAACAGTTTTTATCAACTGGCAGTTATTACATTTCAATGTCTTTTATCATAAAAATCATTTGCATCGCACAGGGGACCAGTTCATGTTTTCATGTTTTCTTGTATCATATACTTGTTTGGGTGCGGTACAGACGATACTGTATATTGCAAAATATGAACAGGAAATGCAAGTCTCACCAAACATGCAGGTTAGTATCTGCTTAAAATATTACGGTTACCAGGGTCACATAGTCGCCGGAAGTTGAATCGGTATCTCGAACAAGAGATTTGTAACATTTTTGCGATTCGAGAGAAATCCTTTTAAATAAGGACCAAATTTAGAAAATCTCTGCAGCAATTTAGCTACACGGCTGAAGGTGAGTTGGAGGGGCCCTCCCGGAGTATTCCATCACCTGACCGAGTGTCGTCCGATTATTCAGGTCCTTTTCAGACTTCGTCTGACAGAATTAGAATTAAATGAGTGGAATATTATACAATCATCAATTACAACCCAGACGATAAGTTGTTTTCTATACACAGTCGACTTTCTTGCTTATTGGTATTTCCTCAAAATCCAGTTGCATATCCATAAGTTCACTTCTAATTCATATAAAATCAATTCAGTCTCCCACATGTAAACAGGAGCACAGGTCATATTGCAGACTGAACGAGGGTATCTCACTCCGGGATTAATCAAAAAGTAATTTCTCAAGACAACATCATTTTCGATACATTTTCAAGTAGAATGTCAATTTTGGTTGCGGTAATGATTGAACCAGTGCAGAGAATTAACACTTGGATCTTGAAGTGAAAGGGTTAAAATGCCAAATGATTTGAGAATTGGACCAACCAAGTCGTTATAGCTTTCTACTGTTTATCTGAAAGCTGGCTTCAATGCAATAATTTTCACGCTACTTATTTTATGAACAGCAAAACATTCGGTGTTTACTCGAGTGCCGAGGCTCTCGTCGGTAGTTCGTGTGTAGAGGATACATTTTCTTATTACCAAATGTTTTGTGAACATTGCCGTTTTCATACCATGTGATTTCTTGGCCCTTTTGACAGAATTTGAATCAGGCTGGTTTGTTTTAACTCTTCTTTTCTTGTTTGTTTTGTTTCCTTGTTTTTTAAACTAGTTGAAATTGTAAATGAACCAGTGCTGGGTGGATAAAAGGGATGAAACCTCTCGTACTGGGTAACTTTATTTTCGGATAAATATAATTCTTGCAAACACAAACCATACCTTGAAGTCAACAAAATATTACAAAGTTTAATGAAATCTGACTTAGTCATTTTTAGAAATCTTTTCCTCAAAGGTTCCTCTTCGTCTCGCAACTTCAAACAATACGCGAGAATTTAAAACAAACACCCAAGCGCCAATGAGGCATTTACTACTGAATATAATTCCGCGCGTTTCAACCAGAGTCTTTCTCTCCATTTTTTATTCATATTTTCCTGTGTTTAGCCTTAACGAAACGCTAATAACAGATATTGTACACGGATGACACTTTATTATGATTATTTGTCTCTGGTGTTTCATTGGTAAACTAAGGAAATTCTATGACGACTTTTATTTGAACAGGATAAAAACTACAACACTACGCAGAACCATATACCTTTCAGAGGAACATCTTATTTAATAGTTTCACTCGAGAGTTAATTTAAAGAGGAAAGACACTGAGTTATAACAAGAACTAACTAAAACAAATAGGTCCAACTTCAAAACCAAATTCATTGGAAGTAAGAAATTCTCCAGGGGCGAAGTCCACTATGGGCATTTGATTGAGGTCTTCGGTTTCTACGTGAACAACTGCTTTCCAGTCTGTTCGGACCTAAGGAAAGAATAAAAAACAAAGTTGTCGAATGTAATGCGTGTCAATACTCCCCAATCATTGACCATCCTCGTTCACTCGTGGTTAATTATCTTGTAAAAGAACGTTCAAGAAAGGTATGGGGTTGCTAGAGGTTCTTAGGTATGGGGCTTTTCTAGCGCACTTACTTCGTGCGCAATAACTCCAGAGATTGAAGGCCTCGTCTTCACTGTAAGTTTACTCACCAAAGAACACAGTTGAAAGGGTGTTTTAACATGACATATCCTTTAGCAGATAATCGTGAAATCTTGAAATACAAAATAAACTTCAGGGTGTCGATTTCTCGATCGGAGCTTGATCAATCGTCTAACCATCCGATGGACTAACCATCCGATGGACTAACCACCCGGGCACGTCTTGTCATGGCGAAGTTACTGCGCAATAACTATGTGCACCGGAGGAGTCCCATACATAAGAATCCATGGCAATCCATCACACCGAGAAACCCTGGTTCTCGAGCGACGACAGTGCGTATGTCCGTCAGGGCGCAAACTATACTTCGCTTGATCGGTATGAACCGAAGAAAAAATTTATTCACTCGAGATGCATTCTAAGACTTGGCTAAAACTGTGTCATCTTCATACTTGTCATAGCTATCCGCTCATACCTTTGTAATCTTGACGGTTGGATCGTTTTTCATGTAAGAAAGGATGCCATCATTAGCTCCTTGTAGTCTGATGGCCTTCTCTAGCGCGTTACTCTTACTGTCGAAGCACCCTTGAGATCCTTTGCAAGTCAGGTCGAATGTTTGCGTCGCTTTCTCGCTAAGTAACCGCAAGAAATTCAATTGCGTCTTACCAACACCCGTATACGAGATCTGGAAAAAAGATATAATTAAAAGAATCACTTTTATGCAATGGAAAACAACCAAACCAACTAACAATCAGAAACTTATGAATGCTAAGTAAATGAAAATATACGAAGGAAAAAATGTCACCTCATAACCATCTTCATATTCGCTAAACCACTCAGATCCGGTGAGTTTCTTCCACTTTTTGTTAGCAGCCTGCTCATTTTTGACATATGAAAAAAAGACATCCAATTTTATCGCCTTAAAGTGAGGTCATAAAATTAGTAATAAAAGTAGTGGTGTCACAGAAAGACAGGAAAATCGGGCTACATGAAACCTAACAAAAATCTTCTCTTCCTAAGTCGAATTTTACGTGACGTTTCTTGAGAATTGTTCTCAGACATCTTGCAAAAAGAGGCAACAAGGGAGACTACTACAAACAAGATACTGACGGAGGAAAGACATGGGCTCTGTAAAGGATTTTTGCACGATAAATTAAGGTGTTGTACATACGCGCTTAGTGTTGACATCAGGAGAAATACAGGTTTGTCCGCCAGCAGTAAAGTTGCAGTGCACTTGAATAGCATCTTCGATACAGCCATGGTTTGGATCAATCCAGTACAAACCTACATGTTTTTATTGAAGAAAAGAAGGAAGCAGAAGTCGGTTTAGTTCAGGTAAGGTAAACTCTGACGAGACTAAAGTCCAATTACAGTAGAAGCTCATCTCGGTTTCTAGAGAGAAAAACTAGGCGTGCTCTTGGACTAAACCAAGTAGCACGCACGCAAACAACAGTTGAGTTTCCTTAACAGTTCGCCAATACCGACTATTAACCTCTTAACCCTTAAGAGTGACTGGCATCTAAATTCCCCATAAAATGTCACCCCTGAATTAAACAACGAGAATAAAGGAAATGATCACCAACTAAAGAAGCTCTTGATCGTAAAACAAATTCTCCTTGTCAGCACCTTGGGAAATGTATAGAGAATAGTATGGAGAATATGCACACTGATGTTAGGGTGTAAAGGGTCAATCTCAAGTGGATAAAGAGAGTTGAATGTCTTCTTGGCCCAGACAGTTCTCGAACCTTTCGATTCATTAGCTTCTTCTCCTCGACCCTTACTAGGTACATGGGAAATCCATGGCGCCCGACTGGAGGTTTCAACAACACTTACCGTCTTTCAAGTCGCCATGACATAAGTGCAGATCTTTACAACTTCGTGCAGGGTTAGCTTTTGTTCCACTTGGTCGTTTAATACTCTCGATTTCATCCTTGAGCGACTGGATCAGTCCCTGAGAGTCTGTGTCGTCTGTTGAATCCACATATCTTCTCTTTCTGGTGTTTCCTTTATCCGCACCAACTTCTACGCCGCCGGGCACAAAGTAGCCACTGCTTAGGAATGAACTCTAGCAAAAGCAAAAAGAGAAGAATGATGATTTAGTCGAAGTATAGCTTCACGACTCCAGAAAAGAAAATTATCTTTAATTGATTGATTCTACCATGAATAAGTTGGCTAAGAGGCTAATATTCGTGTTTTAAGTGAGAAAGAGCTCCAGCACGTTCAAACTGTTAAATGCAAGGAGAAAGATTATTTCCTCAGCCGAAATAAAGGGAACCAGAAAATAATTGTTTTCTGCACCGTAATATCATCGCATATTGACCTGTTCAGTCAATTTATCACCAGCACCAAGATAAGTATCCCTCATTTAGTTATCATAAAACGTTCTCTGTAGCCACGTGCGGTATGAGCCAGGGAAATTTAATTTTAATTTGCCAACACCGCATAATTCTATGACATGGGAAGGAGAGGGGGGAAGGGGGTTGGGGAGAGTCGGTGGAGAATGCTTCCCTTAAGGCCATGTGAACGTCTGTACACATAATTTCGCACAATGGTGAGTCGAAAACCTTTAATTAAGAAGGTGACAACATTTCTCTACTTACGATGTCTCCTGGAGGTCCCTGAAAAACAATTTCACAGAAAGGAATTCAGAAAGTTGTCGTCAATTATTCGACACAAGTAATCAAATAGGCACTTTTTCTGTAAGCTGAAGAGAACATTGGATGTACTGTGCACCGAATGGCTGCAAAAGGTCTTTGTTTAAAGGTCAATCCTTGGTGTTGCGCAACGTGCAATACGCAATCTTATTGCGTGCACTTCTTCATTTAATTGATGGGGGTGGGGCGTTTTCCTTCAAGGAAAAAGCTCTCATTAAATCAGCGGGGAAAAATTGCACGTTAATTATAAATGTTTGATTAACAAATAGTTTACTTCTTACCGGTGGGCCTGGAGGTCCCTAAAGAAAAATAAATGGAAAACAAAATTATGAGAAAAGGAAATAGAAAAGAGAAAAGAAGAAGAGAAGGACCACGAAGGCAATGGAGCAGGGAAGCGAGAGATAGCAGAGATTACGCTAAAACAATCGGATGATAAAAAAGAGAGAGACTGCCTCAACCAAAAGCCTTCATGCTTAAAATTAACATGGTGCCAGTTTTCTTAACCCCTTACACCTTTCCATCAATATCTACATTCTCCACACATTTCCTTTGGTACTGACAAGGAGAATTTGTTTAACAATCAAAGCTTCTTAGGTTGGTGATCACTTCTTTAATTCTCACAGTGCTAATGAATGATTCAGCAGCATTACTGTATGGAGAAATTAGATGCTGGTCATTCTTGGGTTTTAAAGAGTTAAACTGATCACAGCGTGAAGTAAAACCACCTAACCCTTACACAGATTATTTTCAAAACTCAACTGTAAATTGATCGCACAATCTGTCAGAGCTCAACTTATAAAATTACTTACTTGAGTGCCTTGGGCACCCTGAAATAAAAGCAAGACAAACCCCGGTCAGAGACATGAAAATAAAAATACAAACAAATAAACGTGACAATCCAGGAGAAAAAATATTACAGTTGTTGTAATCACATGATGATCTAGCCGGGCACACACAACAACTCTTTTCAAAACCTACCCTTTCTCCTTGTGGTCCCTGAAGAGAAGAGGAAGAGAACAAACATTAAAACGCGTTTGAGACAAGTAAGCCTACCGACGTCTTAACAGTATGAATATAAAATATGTTTTTCAAGCATAGGACAACGATATGAACAAAGAAAAACAAAAGTACTTTTGCAACGTTTTACCAAGATGTCTTTTTAACCAGTGGTAATAGACTTTTCAAAGGGGCATTGCCAATATAACTTTTTTTTACATGGCTTATCGAACAGGGCTAGATGAAGAAGAAAGTTGTAAAATGAAACAGTTCTTCTCAAAGCCAGTCGCTTGCCATAGAACACTAAAGTCTTTATCGAGGGACATGTGAACCACAACGCTTAAGATAGGGATTATTGCTACTCCCTCTGCATGAGATGCTTGCCAAGCCTTGCACCCCTCCCCACAACACAATAAGCCCACCCTGAGCTGGAACTCGGACCTCTCTTTATATCCTAACATCAACATGGATATTCTCCATACTGTTCTCTATACTTTTCCAAAGGTGCTGACGAGGAGAATTTCTCTAACAATCAATAGCCTCTTTCATTATTGATCATTTCCTTTATTCTCATGACCTTAATGTGTGATTCATGGCTGATACTGTAGGGAGAAATTCGATACTGGTCATTCTTGAGGGCCAAAGGGTTAAGGATTCACTTTTTGTACTTACTCTGTCTCCCTTGGTACCCTGTTGAAACAGAAATGAAACAAACGTCAGCACTAAGCAAAGTTGAGACGAAAAAGGACGGGACAAAAACAGCGAAAAATAAGTTTCACAACAAGACAACAGAAGTAAACAATTTTCAAACCTGTAGACCAGTGCTTCCCTACAAATAAAGAAAAAACAATTCTGAGTAATTCTCTCTTTAAATAATAAATAGTGTCGCTGTGGCGACCATAACACACTTTCTGGTTCGTAAATTGTACTTGTCTTTACCGAAAGACAGAATTTTCTTACTCGACACAAACTCGCAAAAACAACCCCTCCAAACTCATCTGATCTGGGTGCACGTGGCCCATAGCAACGTATATGAATGTCAGTCAAAACCTAGCAACGAATAGACTTATGTAACGCAATGTATGTGGCGCGAATTACCGCACAAAGTAACGCAACACTGTAAGCGGGAGCCACAAATAGTTGGAACCTAGAGGAACTGTTGATCGTGTCGTTTATTGGTCTGAATGACAGTAGTTGTCTTAGTTACCCGGTAAGTCCACACTGTACTTTATAATCGCAAAACATCAAAAATACTATTGCGGACCTATACACGAGTTTCATCAAACCATACAGTAATTAGAATCTACTCTAAAAATAACCATTACTCACCCTAGGCCCTGACGGCCCTGGTGGTCCGGCAGGTCCGTCGTCCCCGTCCTCACCCTGGGACAGAATAAAGACGCCATTAAAATAGAGACTACCCAGTAAGTCACAACATTTAGTTGATGAAACTCAACCCAGTTTAAAGCCGCGTAAATCAGAAAAATCTCCGAGCATTAAGCCATCTAGAACTAATAATCGATTTACAATGTCAGGAGCTCCTGACAATGTAATGCACTTAAGTATAATAATATATAGTTTTGGCAGCAGTTTCACATGAAATAGTTTCTGTGAGTCGACATATTGGAAAACGTGCGTGGAGCTACATTTACGAGAAATAAAAATGTTTGGGTAGGAGGGGGTATAATGTCCAAAACATTTTGTCCCAGGAGTTACGGGGTTGGCTTAACAATGTCTGCAGGATGCTGATATCAAGAAGAAGCGGATGGTGCAGGCAAATTGCTCCCTGCGATAGGCACTGCCTATTATGTTGTATATGGCTGATTCAATTTTATGATTATCCAACAAAACTGCAGCGTTAGATAGATAAAGTACAAAACCAAAATGTCACCCTAGGAAAGGTACAGACAAATAAAACACAACACAAAAATAAACAAAAAAACCCAAATTACGTAAAAAAAAAACAAAAAACAAAAACAAAAATTCAGTAAAAAGCAAAAGTACTAAGTGGCAAAGCCTGTTTACAGCTTAATTGTACTGGTCAAGTGAAATTCACTTTGTTTTGATACTCACTCTGTCACCTTTGGGTCCTGGGAAACCCTGGGGTCCGGGAGGACCAACGTCACCCTAGGAGAGAAACAGTAAGCATGTCAAATGTTGCTATAGAAACGAAAGAATCTCAAAAACGTGTGCGTGATTCAATTGTATTCCCCAGCATTTGTGTATATGTTGAGTGACAATCTAATAGATATAATTAAAATAACTCTGTCTACTCTACTTTTACCATCGTTTCATAATGGCACGGAGTTGTTCAACAGAACGACATATTACTGTACCAAAAAATCCTTTTATAACCATTCACTGTCAGGAATGACCAGAAAGAAATTTCTCCTTTCCACATCAATAAATTTTCAAGCAGATGAGTAATAAGAGGAAAAAAGAATGTTAAGTAGGGGATGTTATTTGAGGGAAACTATAAGAAATGTATGGCACACAGTGCGAAGGGTTGATTTTTAAATCTGAGGCAGCGAAAGGATTTAATCGGTAATAAGTAAGACCATTAGCGTTTCCACCGTGGGGGCCTGTCATAAGTTGATGAACTTAGTTTCATTCACTCTGACGAGGGGTTCGCGGTCGAAACGTCAGCTTTAGATACTCTTTACGTTGGCCAATTTTGGTTATGAAAACCAAATTATCATGTAACACCTCCCACTGATGAAGCACCACAGTTTCTTCAGAAAGTAACCCCCTTCATTAGTTTTACACACCTTATCACCAGATGGGCCAGCAACTCCCGTAGGACCGAAGAAACCAGGCCATCCCTAAAGTAGACAACAAATAAAGGTTAACTGTATCGCTTACACCACCAAAACCAGTTTTGTTAAACTAGTTTTTACTGAGTGAAAATCATAAATAGAAAACTCAAACACTGAATTTTCCATAGGATTCGGTATCGCAGAGGTCATGGGTTCAAATCCCGTACAGGCCTGAATTTTTTTTTCAGGCCTTATTTTCAGTACTGCCTAAGTAGTACACATTACTGCGAGGATCACTTTCATTCACATCTTTATCCGCAGTTCAAATATATGACTTTCATATATTCTTAACTGTTTAGGATTCAAATACTTGCTAACTTGTTTTTCCGGTGCGCTACATTTTAATTCAATAAACATTAGGTTAAGCAGCTTCTATGAAGCAAAAAAAACTTACACTGTGTTTGACAAAACAACTTTAAGACATGAAGATTTTAGATATATGAAAATTCACATATTTGCGGTTAAGACATGTTCAAGCTTTGGTGTAAATGGGGTATTACACGTATCGGATCTTATACAAAGATGCTATTCATCACTTGTAATTATCTTTCCTATTATACTCTATCAGATGTGACCTTGTCTCACACACTTGCCTGGTAAGAGAATTCATCAGGATCATACACTAGATTAACTTAGCTATTTGGGTTATACTTTCTTACCCACCGTTAGGAAAGCTTTTTTGGGAAAAGCTTTCGGGAAAGTTTTTTTAAGAAAGCTTTTTACTAGATAACTTATCACTGGTTAGTCAGTTAATAAGTTATTTAGGTAGCTAGTAAGTTTTTATTTGCATGGTTTTATTATTCTTAGTTTTTATTCTGATTTTGACAGCTTAGTCATTTTATTAGTTAGTTTTTCTTATTCATGTTTTAGACATTTCTACGTGAGATATTTTAAAATCACTTGGATAGCAATAGAAATAGCGCTACATATATTAAGTATCATTATAATCATAATTAAGGTGTTATCATTTTCATTACTTAATTTCAATGTGATGATTTATCTAGGCTGAAATCTGTGCAACCAATAGTTACTTGACCTGAGTTAAGTTAATAAATTTGATGTAAAAAAAGATGCTACTTTTGTCTTGTCTCCATTGTAATTATATACCAGCGTAAGTCACCTGAGAGTTTAACTCTATCTGCAGGTTTTTCTTTCAAAAGGAACTATTGCGTTTTGCTTTATTTTCAATTTTTCTTTCCTTACCTTGTCTCCTTTTTCTCCCTGGGATCCTTGCAATCCTTTCTCTCCTTTTGGACCCTAATAGTAAAATATATCGTTGAAGACATTGGAAAAGAAGCCTCCCAGCACCGAAGCGACACGGCTGGGTTGTTTCAATCATGATTAATCTAACACAGGCACGTGGTAAATTATTCGTTTAGTTTTATGACTTGGCAGAGAGGCTTCATGCTCATGAGCACGTAAGTTTTGTCTCACAATGAATTAAACCACCTAGAAAGTTGGCATTGTATACACTTTTGTAGCAGAGGAATTAAAACCTAGTTGAATGTTTAATCCTGACTTTGTGAAAGTCTCTTTCGAATAATCCAGCCCAAGTATTTTAAAAAGCAGTTGCCTATCTGCATTGGGTTTCCATGTATTTGCAAGGATGATATCTTCCACGGGCCATAAACAATGCCATAAGACACCCTATTGGCTAAAGCGAACATTAGTAAAAGTGAATGAGCCCATCACAAGCATGCTGTTGCGCGTTAGCTCGCGCTTCAATCAACTCGAAGCACGTTTCTACCTCAAGCTGTTATTAGTCCATTGTGATATTGTGATATTTGCTTTAGCTGGCGTCAGTGAATTTCTCGTTAGCTCACTTTACAAGAATTGTCACCTGAGCTGTCTTATGCTGTACACTACACGAAGTAAATAAATGATCTAAGCCTCAACTAAACAACTGCAAAAAGAGGAACCTGGAAAAATTTAGGCTTCCACTGGTTTCGAACTGGTGGCTTTTAAATACTAGTTGAGCACCGCTACCAACTGAACTATGAAGCCACATGTTGAGAGCGAGGCAAATTTAAGTTCATTCTTCTTTTCCTCTATTTCCCTCATTTCGCAGCTTATTATGGTAGATACTTACAGTGTTTCCGCGCGGTCCTTGAAGTCCCGGCAATCCTTGCGGTCCTGGATCACCCTAACATAATTATAATAATAATAAAAATCATAACCGTATTACCCAGGGCAATATCAAACGTGCTTTCAGAACGAAAGCTTACACTTTAGATCTCCTCCAGAGGCGTGGCAATTATACATCAAGTATGGTACTCAGGAAAAACTGAATATTTGAAGAAGGCAAATGCGAGTTGCAGGATTCAACCCTTCTTAAGTTTGCAATTGTACTGATTAAGACCGATGACGGGATTACTCCACTTACCGGAGAACCGGGGGTTCCTCTTTCGCCGACCGGTCCCCTGTCCCCTCTTGGTCCCTGAAATCGACATCCATAATGATTAGTGTTTGATCATCAGGGTAATTAAGTAAGACAAGCTGACCAAACGTTAAGTATGGTATAGATACACACTGATTATTCTTAGTTCTTTTCACCTCGAGGCTACCGAATGATATTTTCTTCTGGAAGGTGAAAAGTGAAAATAGCAGAAATATTCCACACTCTGTTAATTCTTCGCCTCTTTTTTGCTTCTGGTACCAAACAACCAAAATGAACCTTCTGCATTGGGACACTTCCATTACTGAGCAAGGATGAAGAATAAAACTCTGTATAATGACCGAGATCTTTTTTTCTGTCGTTGACGTTTTTATGGATCAAGATGAGGTCCAGATATTTTCACACGCAAGTATCATCTCAAACGAGAAGAAACCAAGAGTATCATATTTTGCTGTTGCACCTTTTTTATTTTCCTTTTTTTTACCAAACAAAGAATGCGAACCACCTCTCTATTTCACCAATGCAGATGAAGAAGCAGGGGTGATGCGCACGCAGCCCGTGAGTAATTGGGGGGAGTGGGAGCGGAGAAGGAATCTTTTGAGATTCATTTCACTCGCCAGCAGAGTGGACACCCCATCCTCTTTCATTCTCGCAACAATACGATTGCTGTTCTTTTAAACAACTTTACTGCGAGCTGCAGTCCCACTAATTTGAATTTAGGCTGCGTAGAAGTAATTCTTACCGGAGGGCCAGGAGGACCTGCCACCCCTGGGGGACCCAGTGGACCAGTGTCACCCTAAAGAAAGAAAAAAAAACGTTATGATAAACATGACAACAAAGGGAGCATGCATCACTGACAAAGAACAACTTCATACGAAAATCAAAAGAAATTAGACTTTGCCAGCCCTTGAATTCAATGCGGCCTACATAAAGCAGATGATGTATTTACCTTGTCACCAGGATCGCCATCAGATCCACTGACTCCACGAGACCCACGCTCTCCCTGCAACGACAACGTGCGACAGAATGAGACTAAGTAACTACTTGTGTCATCAACACAGCTTTACTTACCGGCTCACCCGGACTGCCGGGGTTTCCATCATCTCCCCTGGCGCCTGGAGGACCCTGGGTAGAAAGTGAAACAATAAAATATACCAAAAGCTCATTTTTTTTTCTACCGCAAGACTCAAAAATAAGGTTTAAAATCGAGAAAAAAATGTAATCGTGTCAAGGAAATAAAGCTAATTAGGCGTGAGAAATCATAACTGTACGCATGCACAGGTACGCCAATAAGCTTGTGGATTTGTGTGTGTGTTTTTTGTTAACATTTCCAGATCTCTAAAGTGATTGGTCATAAAAAAAATTACATTTCGAATATATTCTGGTGTTCATGAAATTTATAACAACCCATCATAAAAAATGACTAAATTGTTTCATGTCAAGGAAAATATCTTTAAAAGTTTAAAAGTTGATGCCACGACGTCTCATTAAAAATCCAACAAGTTCCAGAAAAATGAAACAATCATATCTTCCATCAAACGAAAACTTACTCTTGCTCCTGGGGGACCTGGCTGTCCGTCCTTTCCCTCTGCACCAGGACCTCCCTTTTAAAAGAAAAAAAAAACGAAAACAAAAAAAAATTGGAACTCTCTCATTTACATGAACAAATACATTCTGTAATTCTTCATAACGGTTCTCTCCGTGAGTAGGGTTAAAGTGCAGGTACATAAACATGTTGCATATAAACGCACCTCACAGAGTGTTGATTGTCTGAAAATGGTTTACACAATATCAAGAACTCCACATCACGCCAGTTCCAAAGTCTTACCTTAGTACCTTGTGGCCCTGGTGGGCCCTGAGGTCCTGGGGGTCCAGATGCACCCTAAAATCATGACCCAGAATTTAGAGCTCAGTATTATATAGCCTTGATTATACACAACATTTCAAAAATGCTCACCACTGGTCCTTTGAGTCCTGGTGCGCCGGCGGGACCTCGTGGTCCTGGGGGACCCTAGCAGAGAAAGCAACGCAATTAAAGTATATAACACAAATTTCAAGTCCTCTAGAGGGTTCCCGGTGTTCACCAACCAAAGGTCATGTTCTTACATCTCCAAAGCTTCGCCTCCGGCTGGAGCGCGTTTCTCTGGTTTTCAGCATTATTACATCAACTCTTACACAAAAAAAATATGTTGAAACTGCTCTAACCATACTGCTTCATGAGTTTAATTCTCGAGTACACGAAAAGGAATGCAGCTCAACCAGAGAAAAAGTTGCTCAGTTGCTTGGCTTCCTCTTCTACTTTACGGAAAACGTCTTGTTCAATAATTTTTATAATACAGCCCTGATCGACTACACTGTTTTGAGAAACTTATGAAAAGGAGAAAAAAAGAAATTTGCACAATGTGAACATACCTGCGGACCGGGGTCCCCTCGGTCGCCTTTTGATCCCGCTTGACCAGCTCGGCCCTGTAAAAGAAATTCACGTGGTGTAATAACCAGGAATTAACATACCTAGCTAGTGGTGAAAAGCGACGACGTTGCATTGTCAGGGTGTAAAGGGTTTTAAAAACCTCAAACAATTTCCTTTACAGCCTTCCTAGTCCCCGTCCTTGATACGTATATGAGCATTTTTATTTACCTACCGGGCTCTAAGACATTCGATAGTTTATTGCATTCATTCACGTGAGAACGTAAGCTGTAACAGGCTAAACGAGGTTTATTGTTTCTTAAACATATCAAAACGAAAACAGATAAAATTAAAAGCTTACCGGTGGGCCTTGCTGCCCTGGGGCGCCTGCGTCACCTTTCGGCCCTTGATCTCCCTATGAAACCAAATTCACTTCTAGAACAGCATATAACATTCTATTCAAGTTATCTCAAATACCAAAAATGTAATGCAGAAAGAGATCCAACAGAAAAGAGTATTCATTTTAAGGGATGATAATGAAGCCACTCACCTTCTCTCCAGGTCGCCCATCAGTACCGGTTTCACCAGGTTCACCTTGGTCTCCCTGTGGAGTTCAAAGTCGTTACGTTTTCATTGTCTCAAACGCACTCTTATTCAATGAGTTACCATTGAAACACTGGGACAAGTAACAGTTTTTGGCCACATAAACCTGACGTATGGATGATATCTTTAATGATGTCACTAACCTTAGCTCCCGCCGGTCCTGGTGGGCCGCGAGGACCTGGTAATCCTGTAGATCCCTATGAGAACAACGAAATAATGATATCAAACAATGTAACAAACTTTTCAAAATCTAAATTTAGAATGAGTTACATCGCAATGATGAAACTATCGCGGCACCATGATGTAAATAAAGTAATAATCCATCAGGTCCCTTTATGGTGGAAAATATTTAAGTGATTGAGAAGCCAGTTTTTCTAAACAAAATATTACTTGTTAAGGTATGTAGCGCAAAGTAAGCCTTTTTTGCTTTGCTGACAACTGAGACAACATTAGGAAAGAGGAGAGCACATCCTAGTCAAAGTACTTGGTCATAACTTGACACAAAAAAATGAAATTTGCGCCACAGAATCTCTTACTCTAACGTCAACACAACTCAAATCTTATGTGTTAACTGAATTATAAGTTGCATTATCGTTGTAATTATCGATTAAGGCGCTCCTTTGACAGGCAACAGATTTAAGAAAAGCTAACTGATTTCTCACACATATTTAATTGAAAGTTGTAAAAAATTAACCCAAGATTGTGTTGCTTTGAGCTTCACTTTACCATGTGATTGGCATAGAAAATTCGCGCCATGTTCTCAACCAATCAGATGTGTTACTTAACACAATCGCGACCTGATTAGCCACGTTTCCTCGCGCTTGAAGTCGGTTAAATGTACTTACTTCGAGTTCTCATTCTCGTTGCTTCTCATTTCCGGTTTTGTTTGGATTGGCTGTACCGTTTGCGACAGTCTGAGTTTACAACACTCAATTAGAAAGTTCTTTAAACGCATGCGCAACCGAAACTATAGAAATTAAAAACACGTGATCCACAACAATCCCTTCCGCGTACGACTGAGACAACAATTTTTGAACATACCTGTGGACCACCGGGTCCTCTTTCACCTTTCAGTCCTCTGGGTCCAGGAACGCCCTTCGAAGTAGGAATAAAAATCATTCAATACCTTACATCATGATGCATGAAAAAACACCCACAACGTTTTCACGGCGTTGAATTTTAACTGCTATTTCACCCTTAGCTCTGGCGCTAAGAGAAGTCAAAGATTTGTTTCCTACCGGAACTCCCGGAGATCCACTAGGCCCGGGTGGTCCGCGTCCTCCATCGCTCCCTTTCTCACCCCTTGGACCAGTGGCCCCTTGGGGTCCAATCTCACCGGGTGGGCCCTATGGACAAAAAAAAGTGACTTAGAAATTGAAGCATAAGTGATTAACAACATCGCAAAGTCATCAAAAAGTTACAGTGATATTATAATTTACAGCGATCCTTGATTGACGAACCGCACCGGTTTAAATTGCAAAGGTGAGAGACATGGTAAACAAGTCGCGCAACATATTATATACAAATTTTTTAAAAAGGTACCACTGAACCAAAATGAAAATAGAATGGAGAACGCACGAAAATGGAGAAAAATTTCAACAGATAACAAACAAACCGCTTGAAATCTGTTGTGCATATTTCAAAAGGTGACCTCAAATACCTCAAAAGTCGTATTTTCCAACCTGTTGTAATCTTCTTTATCTGTCGTTATTTTTGTTACTGCTATCCTCATTCTTAGTATTGTAAGGTTCTCCCATCTCACAGAACCAATATCTTACAACACAGAGAAATTTTCAATCCCGAAAGTAATCGGGGATTGCTTTGGTTTTACTTGACTTGGTCACTCGCGTTTTCCCGCGCTTTAGGCTGTTTACTTGTTTTAACTTTGAGTTATCATTGGCTTCTTGTGATACTTTCCTTTGCTCTGATTGGCTCTTTTGAATTCATTGGTTTTTGTGTAACGACGCTCAATCGAAATGCGTTCCATACTTCAAAACTCGTAGCACAGTGCCTTTAAGCTCTCTGCTCAGTTTGTGGTACTTACAGGCGGTCCAGTTTTTCCCGGTGGGCCAGTTTGACCGGCGGGGCCTGGAGGTCCCTGAAAAGGTAAGGTAATATCAGTTGATGGGTTTGGCAAATAACCACTTAAGGCACTTGAAGCTTAAAGATTAGCTTCCGCATTAATCAGTACACAGTGAATGTTGTAAATTCTCACCCGCGATTCGGAATATTCCTGTCCAAACCTAATTTTGAAAAACGCTTCGGGCGCAAATTCGAGAGTATATGAATCGTACTGAGTTCCAAATAATGTCTACATTCTTTAGATGAAATAAAAACTTTGCCGTTCATTCTGATTAACTTTTATTGTTGATAGTGAAAAACGGTGCTGTTGAGTTGACCTCTCGAAGCCATGAACATCAACCGTTTCATTCCCGAGATCTCTTTTGTAATTCTTCTTAATGTCTGCCTACAATTCTAATGAAATCCGTTCGGAGAATTTGGCACTGGATCAACTATTAATCCCCAGATAATTTCATTATTCTCATCACTTGTCTGCATGATATTGCATTGATATTGTAAGGAGAAACTCTGTCTTGGTCACCCACAGGAGTTAAAAGGCTACTGGGCGTTGTGATCAGTCAGTTTGGTTTTGATTTCACCTCACTTAAACGAAAAGCGGTTTACGTTCGATTTTATTAAACACGTCATAAATGACCTTTGGTCCTTGTCCTCCTTTCTTCCCTGATTTGCCTGACTCTCCTTGGTCACCCTGAAGGGAAAAAATTCAAAACTCGTGTCCTTGAACAAACAAATAATTTGTTACAGGTCTGTCCTACTAGAAGACCAGCTTAAAAAATGAAAAAGAGGAACCGCATTTTCATTAAAACCTTTATTTCGAAAAAGCCTTACACGCATACCAGGAAAATACAATAAAAAAAAATGAGTCATCGTGCTTGTTTAAGACATATGATGGGGCCAAACTTACACCATTTATGCCTGTTCTGGCACTAATCACGCGCGTCATTTCATCGGATTACGTTACATTTTGCTGCAGCTAGAAGCAAGGGTTTTTAAAGTAACACTTGAAAAAAACTAAATAGGTAGAAAGTCTGGAGCGTATGGAACAATTTGATATATAATTTGTGGGAAAATCACGCAAATTTAAACGAAATCGACTCAAAACGTTCATCGAGTGGTTCCTTTAAGGGTCATAATTTGCATCCTGGAGTAATGGGTTTCGTACACGCTTTTAGCTTTATCTTTTTTCCCTTCGAAGAATTTTTCCTTAATTTCCCCAATTTAAAAGGGATAATTTGTTCCCCAAAATCATACAATGAAAAAAATATAGGTCACCGTGCTCGTTAAAGAGCGAAAGATCATCGTACCTCTTTACTTTGTCCATGGATTGAAAAACAACACTGCGTTCTCGGAATACACGCACGCTCATTCCCCTAATTACGTGATTTTAATGCGCAATACAGGATGCGCGGTGCAAAACTGAGGAATCACCTTAAATGCAGTTCTTGAAATAGAAAGGTAAACATTTCCCGTACCTTCTCACCCTCCTCTCCAGGGGGGCCTGCTGGTCCTTCCTCACCAGGTTTACCCTAAACAAGAAAATAATTGGTTACTCGCAGTCAAGTGTTTGCTGGCAGACGGTTAAAGCAAAGTCCCTAACGGCATCAATTCATGCAGCTCAATACAATCAGGTACGCGTCCAATTTGTAGCAAAAACGTTCACCAGTAGCCTTACTGTAACGAGATGCAAGTTTTAGTAACTCATAGGGACTGTGTACAAATGATGAAAGAACTACTGAACAATATTTCTTTCTACCTAACAACTAAAACTATTTTTTATGAAACATCCATCAGCATATCATTATTGATCAGAAATATGTCAACGTTACATACCGGAAGTCCAGCTTTCCCCTCGGGTCCAGGCTCTCCACGAGCTCCTTCTTCTCCCTAACAGGATAACATGCGAAAGCTTCAAATTTTAAATAACTAATAGTTTGTCATGCCAGAAGTCACGCGCGAGTATGACTCGCGAACTCGTCAAACACCAGTTACTCAGGACATGCGCAATTAACTTGATATTTAGAAGAGAGAATTGAAGTTGAGTGCTACGCACGTGCACTCACCCTACTGCCTTTCTCTCCAGCTGGTCCTTGAGGTCCTTGGCGACCTGGCCTCCCCTGCGAGAAGACACGTGATTGATTATCATTGTTAGAGTTCCATTGACTTCATAATGAAATGCATGCATAAATTTTTATTTAATCTCAAACAGTGCAAAAAGTTGAAATTAAATATATTGACAGGAGAGTCGCGAAAGACCAACAAACCAAAATGGCGAACAGATAAATGGAAAGTAAAACGTTTTAATTCCGAGTTTGAGGGTGAATTTTAAAAACAAAATCATCAAAAAGCGCAAACATATGGCTTAAAGTCTGGAAGTCTTGGGAATTGTAAAGTATGAATCGGAGGCTCTGAACAAACTTCACGAGGAGTTTTAGGTGACAGTTCGGAAGAAAAACCGGCAAGAATACGAGCGTGATAGCTTTCGTGCACAGTTTACTGCCGTAGACCGATACCTAACAGAGAAAGAGAGTGGAGGAAGTCCGACTACTCGGGCAACAAGGCAAAGGCAAGCGGGCGAACCAGTAAACTATGTCACAAGGTAAAATCAACAAAAGAGGAAAACAAACTCGTAAACTCGCCAATTTTTTCAAAGACTACAAATTGGACTCGACCCACGGTTTCATGCAATTTCGTTCCCATTTGAAAAACTTAATCGCGCTTATTTATGGCAAATTGCACTCGAAATCATGTAATTACACATACGAAGTACATCTATCCCAAATTATAAAAGTGGATGTAGAGGATGTTCTCTTACAAGATCAAAAATGAAAATAATCTGTAGCTCGAATAATAATGGAGAACGCATTGAAAATACTTAAAAATTTGTTTGCAGAACTCACTATAGGACCCTGGGGTCCAGGTTGTCCGGGTGGTCCGCGCATTCCTTGAGGCCCCTGAAAAAATATGGACGATTTAATTGCACTGCTGGTGGATGTAATAAGAAAAAAAAATGAAACTCTGACCAATACTCATCGCTTTACCTGTGCTCCTGGTGGACCGATCGGTCCTTCCACTCCTTTGAGTCCAGCGGGTCCCTGAGGAAACAACCAAATGACCCTTAGAAATAATAATCTTAAGGTGGCTTGTTCCCTTACATCAGTATGCATATTTTCCATACTGTTCTCTTTACATTTCCTTAGGTACTAACAAGGAAAAATACTGAAAGAATTTCTTCAGTTGGAGATCATTTCCTTTCAGTCTCATAATCAGTGGTGACACTTGTCACTCTTATGGGTTTCAGGCTTAATTTCAAGAATCATTCCCAATCAACTTTCAAAAACTAAAACACTTATGATAATTAACAAATAGACAATCTCTTTAAAAACTTGTTTCTTACTGGCGGTCCCATGGCACCTTTCGGCCCTGGTGTTCCTGGCTGACCCTAAATATAAAGAATCAAGAAAAATGCTCAGATCCAAAGAAAAATTGCAAAATCAATTGTTTGAGTGTTAGCATTTCACCTCCCAGAGTAGCGGGATCTTAATGGAAAGGAAAAGACCATCATGTTTCTCTTCTACTCCAGAACTGAGAACTTGAAAATTTCAGCTCTCACCTGTGCACCATCCTTACCGTCTGCGCCTGATTTACCAGGCTCTCCCTGATAAGGAAAAATACAGAACGAGATAAATAGAAAAGAAAGCGTGATTTTCGTTTTATGCAACATAACTCTTTTTATCCTTAGAAAACGCAGATCTTAAACGGCAGAACAAAGGGTTACTTAATACCACTTTTGCAAATAACTACGTAGTGCTTTGCAGGCGTTTCTGAAAAAAAAAAATAAATCCGTCAACCCTCAAAGATTAGAAGGTTAAATAAAGAACTGTTATGCACCTTTGAACCATCCTTGCCAGGCTCCCCTGGGTCTCCTGTGGATCCTTGGGGTCCCTAGATACGACAAAAATAACGATATTATCGAGAGTAGAGCGTGAATCCACACAACTTTCATCATGTCTCTTCTTGGATCATAACAAACACGGGCAGAGGGATAGTGCGTTATTGTGTTCTCACCGGTCGGCCACGTTCTCCTTTAGGTCCTGAGCTTCCCCTTTCACCTGCAGGACCCTAAATCAATAAGAGGATGTTAAAAATGAGTCTAAGCAGACAGCGGTGAGTTGATGACTCACAGCGGTTTTTTAACGAATGTCCAACGGATTCTTACCTGGCATGGTCGGATCACTATTGCTGCATGGTTATGTATTTGACAAGAGTTTAAAAGCTAGACAACTTCGATGAGCCTACTTCATATCAAACAGTTTACAGAAACAGATTCCTAAGGATTCTCTTTTTAACCACTTGACTCCAATTTTCCAGGTCTTTCTCTTCTCGCTGAAGTACACAAATAATTCTTGACTAATTCTCGGTTTGACATTCAGCGGCTCCTGGGAAACTGAAGACTTTTTCTATTTTAATTGTTATCTAAAGTGATGCCTATATACTGGATTAATTATAACATTAATATACTTCAAAATTGACAATAATCTACTCTAAAAAAATCGTCAAGTGATAACAGGAAAGGAATCCTCGCCATGATTAAATTAAACCGATAATTTTCTTTCGATCCTCTTTGTCATCGGAACATGTTAAAAATAACTCACCCGTCCACCTGGTATTCCGGGGGATCCTGGCGGCCCTATTTTTCCTTGAGGTCCCTATAACCCACGACAGAAACGCACTTAATCCAAAGATTATCAAAAACATCGCGAGAACTAAAAGTTTGAACGAAAGATCAAGATAAACTAAAAGTCTCTATCAAAACTTGGATCTCACCGTTTCTCCACGAGGTCCAGGAAATCCTGGAAGGCCCGCTTTTCCTGGAATACCCTGATATGAAAAACATATTTTCAAATTACTCTATACTCTAAGTGCCCTATGATGAATCACGTGAACAAAACACGGCTTACCATCGATCCACGAGGTCCTGCCTGTCCTCGGTCCCCCTGAGGTCCCGGAGGTCCCTGTTTCATTAAGACAAAGATGTCAAGCTATAGACAAGACACATGCTTTGCAAAAGTTTCCGGCATTTCTTGAAGCTTTCAGGTCAAGTGAAATTACGCTTGAATTTGCAAGTTAAAGAAACTGACTCAAATTAATGTGACAGAGCTTCCTTAAGATTTTCCCAGTCACTTTTTACAGCACCGTAAATCCTCGAATCATATACGTTTATTAACATAACTTGTTGCCCCTGTGTGATTTTATTCTCTCGAGGCTGTTTTTAAGTAACTTCATAATCCTGTAATACTACTTATTTCACAGATACTGAGATTTACACTATGAAGTACTATCGCTCGTGTCTCTGGTTGGACGAACGGTGTATTTTCACAGTCGTTCGCTTCCAGTCTTTGAAATGTGAAAAAATCTCAGTATGTATGAAATAAAAGTACCATACCATGGAAAGTGCTTGAACAATTTTTATTCACTGGTTGCAATGCATCAAAAACTCACTCGTTTGCTGCGCTCACTCGTTCGTTTCTTATGCTTCGCAACTCGTGAATTAAAATCGTTCGTGCACATTTTCCATGGAATAATCTCTATTTACCGGGTTTCCGCGGTCACCAGGTACTCCAGGCTCACCAGCAGCACCCTAACAACAAAATTAAAAGATGAAGATGATAAAATAAACATGTTTCCTTGCATTAGTTCATATTCTAAGTGTGTCGCCCTTCAAGAGCTTAAGGTGAAACAATGATGGAAAGAAGTTGCAAGAATATGTCTAGAATTTAAAAAAAATGTGCTAATTACGGATGCTAAGATTGTACCTTCAACAGATACATGATGAATACCTTAATGAAGGTTCGCAGTGTAAACAAAACGTGGAAGAGTTTAATTAAGGAACATCAACCAGTGATAAAATGGACGCGAACACAAGATTTCCCATTTATAAAGAACTTATAACTTAGCGTTGTGAGCGTATTTTTGAAGACGCTTTTTTCTGGTAGACAAGATTCTTTAAAATAGTTACCCTCTATCATTGTTACTTAATCAGGTTTGTTACCTCTGTGGTTTCAGAAGATTTTTATCATTCCTTATACTGTTAGCATTGTGTCATCATTATTGTTGTACCAGTATCATGAAACTCAACCAGTATGACTCACCTTTGCCCCGTTGGTTCCAGGAGTTCCGGGGGATCCCCGCGCACCACGTGGACCCTATGGACACGTAAACAAAGTGAGTTATAACAACTGAAATCATGGGGGCTTAGTGCAACAATTTACGGATTTATCTATCACTCGCAATACTTATGCCTATGGCAACGTGGTTGTAAGTTCCCAATAATTCAACAGAAAAAAAAGGGATAGAAAATGCAGTAAATTAAAGAGTATGAGGGTGTGTGGGGTGAAGGGGGGGGGGAGGGGGGCCCAAAGGGAAAAAGGGTGTGGCACTATAATGACCCTTTACATTGCTTCCTTTAACTCTTTGTTATTTTACAGACACCGACTTTTTGTTTTATTTCAGGTTATCTTTTCTTTATGTTCAACACTTCCACTAAAACATGGCAGGCCGTGACCATTATTGCCATGACACTTAACAGTGGGTTAATGAGACAATGTGATGGATGTGTTTTAAAGAGAACAAAGAGGAGTAGGCTTTGTAGCCTTACTGTACCCTTGATCCTCTTCCTCCTTGCGGCCCCGGTTGTCCAGGATCCCCCTACAAAAGAAACAACAGCAATAACACAAACTCATGACATATGAATGTAAGAGGAGTGTGACATGTCTTTTGACCATGGATCTGGAATTTAAAATATTTGTCAGGGTTGGGGCGATAACGGAAAATTTCCAAAAACTTTTGAGTTTTGTCCCATGCATCTCATGTCTCTTGTCTTGAAAAATCATCCTAATTTATTTGCAGAGCATCATAGCCCATACAGACTCACCCTGACTCCCTTTGATCCATCTCGTCCTCTTGCCCCTGTTGCACCAGTATTACCCTGTCATTAAAAAATACATATATATGAGGATATATCAACACACACAGCCTTTATAATTTGCTAATATTGCCCATTATGCAATATCAAATATATTGAAATACAATATTCAACAGATTTAGCCAAAACACATGTTGATAATCAAAATACCACACTGAAATGCAGCTAATTGAGTGTCATTTCAAGGCGGTGTTGACCGAAAGTTTGTGCAGTGTTAAATTTTTTTAACCTAGGAAAATTTTGTTAATAGTCAAGTACTTTCTCTAGCTCCCAGCAATTCCATACATTACTGCTTATTAATTGAGCTTAAAGCAGTTCCATTTACTGATGAACAGCTCTTAAAGATTTGTCTGCTCTACCTTTTCTCCTGGTTCACCAGGGTACCCAGGCATTCCCTGTGGTCCTTTCTCACCCTGAAAACAAATAATGCCAATAAATGTTAGGGGGTAATGTAATAAAATTGGCTGTTCTTGCCATTAACTTTTTGTTTCAAACTAAGTTGTATATGGGGAGTAGTCTGATCTAATCATAATGTGATAACATGTAATCATAATGTTTTGAAAACAATAACTTATATCAATAATAATAATAACTAATAATAATAAACAATACCTTTGCTCCTGTAGGTCCAGGGGGGCCTGAAGGTCCTGGGATACCACTGCGACCCTACAATTATCAGAGGTAAACACTTTTTTTTACCTATGGCATTTAAGGGTGCAGTGCTGGTCATGCTTGTTGATGACTACCAGCCTTTCTAGGCATTTGGACTGAATGATTTACCTAACAGTTATTAGAGCTGCATATTTTGCTTTTTAATGTTTCAAGCTCATTGTTTTTGAGTCCTCTTCAAAAATTTTCTGTTGATAGCGATTGTCAATAAATTAAGACTAAGAAATATGATTCAGATCACTGAGGTAGCTGGCAAACAAACCTTTGGCCCTTCAGGTCCTTCACCTCCTGGCACACCAACTCCTCCTGAGGCACCCTACAAGGAAGATGATGATTACAGTAATCACAACTTACAGCAGTTTAAGCAAAGTCCTGGGATAAACCTTACTTCTCAAGGAATAACTGAATGGTTCTTTTCAACTCAAATTCATATGAGTTCATATTATGGTACTTAGGGTATATCAAAATGCCTTTGGTAAAGTGACTGGAACTCTGAGGGAGAAGGGATTTCAAAAGTCAAGGTAACCATTTCAATGCCAGCTGCGTGTGTATAAAACTAGCTAAGAATTCATGCAGGGGAGGTTATATTCAAAAACAGTTAGTTTTTTGTTTCACTTACATCTTCTCCTTTTGGCCCCTCATCACCTTTTGCACCAGGAAATCCAGCTAGTCCCTGTGAAAGATTATTAATAGGTGCAATGTGACAGCTGATTACAAGAAGATGAGGGTCAATTCTCAATAAGTCTAAGGTATTCAGTTTAATGGATGAGTGTTGCTCCTATGCATTTCATTAGTACCTGTGATTCACATACTCTGAAGCTATCACTTTTACTGAATAAACTTTGGTGTTTTACAGGGATTTCCATACCCAAGAAAAGCCCTATTTGTACACATTAGTGTGTTTAAGTGAGATTTCAGCTTCCTTTTGAGACAGTTATATTCACACCTAAGAATCAATCTCTATTTCTCCCAAGCTATGTTATCATTAAATTTTCTTTGCACTTATTAAAACTCTACAGCAGAAGCAGTTAATCAGGAATAACAGGTTAAAATTCCTTTGAAAAAATATTTGTGCTGACAGTTTTTCTTCATTTAATGCACAGCTAATCAAAACAGAAGATTTATCATGAGGCTAGATTGGTTTCGTGAAATATAATCTTGCTGGTCTATGATGTAAAATCAATCCAGAGAGCTGAATCAAAATAAAATTGATGAAAGCCAACACCCTTGGTCTACAGGTTTATAATATAAATGTAAAATAGGAAATACAAACCTCTTCACCCTTCTCTCCTTCTGGACCTCGTTTTCCTCTGCTTCCCTGTGCAAAAAATAAGCATTCTTTTATTATTAAATAGCTAATTTTGTAATTTAAAGCACATAGGACTTAAAGATTGAGTGCCAAAGGCCAAAAAAAATAAAATAAAATATATTGGTTAAAATCTCAAGTTCAACAAAGAATTTAATTTCTGATGGGTCAATGACAAATGCAAAGATAAGTTATAGATTACAATACAAGATTTCTCAAAATTAAGCTTTTGGTTCAAAATTAATTTAGAAAATTAGCCTGGAGTATGAAGTTTGAAGTATGTCATATTGAAGGGAATGAATTGTTTAAAATGTGTTAGAGTAGAAAGATGAAAATGCTTATTGTAAATAGAAAATATCCTTGAGCTGTATCACTGTATCACACCTTTGGCCCAGGGAGGCCTGGGTAGCCTTGTGGTCCTCTAACTCCTGGTGCACCCTGGGAAGTACATCCATTGAGTATATCAATCAAAACATTGATAAAATTAAACTTAAATGGAAACACAACAAATTCTGTAATGTTGAAAACTTAAGAAGGGTGCATGACAAGGGTGAAAAATGTAATAAAAGTAATTTATGGTGCTTTGTGATAATATTACAAACATATGCACTCAGCCAACTAAAAACGTGTTAACTTGAAGAACTTTACAATCCACAAGCTTAGACTAAGGTGTTAATAGGTTGTTTGATAATTTCAGATACTTAAAATTCTGTAAAAAGCCACCTTCTTTATAAATACTAATAGAGAAGAGGTTAATGAACCTCTCTCCCCCCTGATAAAAAACATTAGAGTTTTTGCTGAAAACTATAGCATGTTACATTAAATCTGACTTACTCTGTCGCCTTTGGGTCCAGGTGGTCCTTCAATGCCAGGGTATCCCTATAATATAGTCAGAGGATCAGATTTACACCACAAGAAGTCAGTACATACTCCTCAAAGCCTGTGCTCATCTTTATGCAAAGTTTATTAACTGAACATTTATAATCATAAATCTGAAATAAAATAGTTTGTTTAATTACCATATTGGCTAAAGTTGACAATAACAAAGAATTCATGTAACCATAGGCCATATGTGAAAATTTAATTTAATTAATTTCAGCAAATGGGTTTTATTTATTTCTTAAGTGAATAACTGTGTTTAAAGTAGGCCATCAATTGCTGTTTTCCATAACCACAATAAAAATATATTATATGTATTTTAATAGGAGGTTACATGTACTAGTTATAAGTCAAAATAACTCTCTCTCTCTCTCTACTTACTGGCACACCATCGGTACCTGGGAAACCAGGCATACCAACTTTTCCAGCCTCACCCTAAAGATAGTAAATAAGGATTATAGACTGTGGTACATGAATGACAAATTATCTCCAATAAAAGTACTTCCCACATAAGTATTAGAAAGAAAAAGGCCGGAGGTGCTATGTGACATACCTTAGGTCCCATAGGCCCTGGGGGACCCGGAATACCAGGAGGTCCCTTGAAAAGAAAAAAGAGAAAATTGAATACTGGTTCATTGAATATTACTTTTGACAAAAATATAATTGTACCAAAACAGAAGAAGGTTAAACATGAATATGGACATCAATATCTAGAGTCTCCTTCAGTTTGATCCACATCCAGTTTTTACGGTATTTCACTCTGATTTTCTCCCAGCTCCTCCAAAAAAAAAGACCCTTCATTCTGAATATATGTCTTATTAAATGAAAACAAGCTTCAAAATAATCAAAATAAAATTGGATTTTAGAAATGGCATATGAACAGAGTAGCTCTGAAATCCTCCACTGTTTCCTTGTCAAATTTGAATTGGCTGTATGGTTTTTGTGGAGAATTGTGAATCCATGAACTCAGAGAAAAAGCATTAACCACTGAGATTAGAGCCAACTTGACCCACATTTGATCACATATCCAAGAATGCAAACCTGGGCTTCAGCAGTGAGAAGTGTCCATTCTAACAACAATACCATTGATTCTCATCCATTGTGCACATTCTATTAAGCTTTTAGTTTAAATGAACATATTTAAAATGTCAGAATATTATGTAGCTTTATTCTATTATTACCGAGGGTCCTCTCATGCCTTGCACACCTTGAATTCCTATAGCACCTGGGGGACCCTAAGTAGGAAGGTGGAAAAACAAAGAAAGTAAGTCTGGTTTCAAGCCAATAGGTCCACAGCATTGGAGCATAATCTATTCTCTTCAATGCAAAGCTACTGGGAATATCGCTGCTCCCTCTGAAAAGGATGCTAATCCATTCCAGATTAAACCTGAGTTGAGAGAGACACTTCAAGGGTTCAGTATTTTGCCCACAATGTGATGCAATACAATGACCTGGTTACAGACTGATTATAGACCCCTCATGTTTGAGTCCAACTAATAAACATCAGACCAAGACTTCTTTGGTAAGAAGGAAAGTTAGATTATGCACACCAAAATTTCCATGCACACCCTTCACTGATACTCAATTAATCTTTATTTCACCATAAATCTTATGAATTTTTACTAACTTTTTCATATCAAAACTAAAAAAATCTGTACACTTAATATCGACAAGACCTCAACTGGTAATTTATTTTCTTTTAATCATATGTTGTGTGTATTGCTTGTGAATCAGATTCATGATAATTTCTTAGGGTGATATTCGAGGTCACCCTAATGAATATGTGCAAAATCTTTTTTCCTTTCCACTACAAGGTATTGATTAATCTTGTTACAAGAAAAATGTTCAAGACAGGATATATTACTTTCACTACTGAATCTTTGGCATCAGAAGAAGAATCATTTGACAAAAAAAGCCAAAGAAGAAGGATCAAGTCTGGAAGAGTTGCCATCCCTTGCATGTGGATGTTTTTGAGGGTAAACTAGTTTAATGCTTTATCCTGCATACTGTATAAAATTTTTTGATGGATAATAAACACACTGGCACTGTTCTTACAGAACTGTCTGCTTATTAGAACAGGTTATGTTTGTAGACAAATATCCCAGCCTATTTTCATACCAAATGAAGACCATTGTTTACTTATTTCCTTACCGGTGATCCAGAGGGTCCTGGTGGACCTCGCTCTCCTGTACCTCCCTGTTGATATTAAGAATTAAGGGATAAAGTAAAAACGTAGCAGAGTTAGCCTCGAAGGCTCTGTCTCATGACAACCAATCACCCCAAATAGACCCATTTGCAATTTTTAAAACTTTTACATGCACCATTGAAAGGAAATCTATGGATGCAGCCGGAAAGAGCTCAGTGAAATAAGTAAAACTACCAAGTATGACGATAATATGTTGCAAACTGACAAAGAACTTTGTATGGTGGGAACAAGGTTTTGTTTCCCCTCACCCCCACCCCCGCCTCACTTTAAAAGAGGTCTAAACTTTTGCAACTTTCTCCATTTTGCAAATTTGCCGAGTTATATGTTCAACAGATCACTCTCACAATTCACAGCTTTACTTATTTCACTGAACTACAGTAGTGTTAAAGGACCTCTACTAACTTGTTTATGCAAAGTTAATTAGTTGAAAAATCGTAAAAGTGTTTTTTGCCGATACTTACCTGCAATCCTCTCGGCCCTGGCGGTCCCCGTTCTCCTGGTTCTCCTTGGGGTCCCTGGAATGAAAAAAATTTAAACAACTTTAATTTTGTTAAACTCTATGGTTAAATTTTTATAAATTCACAAAGCGTTGTCCAACAAGATAGAGTAATCACGTGATACAAAAATTAAAGTTTGAATAAAACCAAAGAAATATCGATCAAGTTGTGTTTGAAGAAAGGAAACGTTCCTTGATCGCCAACTAAGTGTATGTACACGCCTTGTGAAACTTTTGCTTACGATGCGTGATAAAAACATGGATTTTACGCTTGCAAAAACTACTAATCTTCTCCAGAAAATTACTTTAGAGACCCTAGGATCGGTGATGACCTTCTTTCTTGATCATCTACCCTTACCAGCGTTACCGTTACACTGACAACGTTCAAAGTTAGGGCTGACTGAGTCGCCATTTTGCCTTTTGGTGAGAGAATCTGGGATATAGTAGTGGAATTGATGTGGATTGGAACGAGTGGCTTTATTGACAATTTTGACCAATCACAGTAGTAATCAGTGTGTACACAAGAAGCAAGATTTTGATGAATTGGCTATAATCTTCGAAAAATAGACATTATATTGCTTATTTTAGCCACAAGTGATGACGAGTCTCACGAACCAGCAAACAACTTGCTATGTGTAACGTGATAAGGTACTAAAATGGACTTATGGGTCCAGAACAACGGTTTCTTTTTCTTTTCAATAGTTTACAACTCTTGGTCTGTTAACGGCGACAAGTCCTCGTTACTAGTGAAGTCTAATATTTCCATTTTTTGATACTAATTTATTCTGACTTATATTCTTACCGTTGGTCCCACCATTTGTTATTACACACAACAGAAACAGATTTGTCAAGAACAAAGACGAAATAGTGGGATACTTGGTGGGATACTATTAGTGATAATACTTACCCGTTCACCTTGCATTCCAGCTTGCCCTGGTGTGCCACCATCGCCCTGTAAAATAGTAAAGCTTAATAAGTGAATGCAGAGCATCGTAAACTGTGTTATTTCAGAATCTCATTTTTCACTGAATAGGACTAAGGAGGGGTTAGATCGAATCGCGGATGGACTGATCGACAAACTTACCGATCGACCGCTTGGCTGACGTACTGATCGACTTACTACCGGCTGAGTGACCTATTGACCCAACTGACTGACCGATAGATTGACCGAACAACCGACCAACTACTAACCAATCAATCGACTGACTGTCTGACAGATTGGTTGACCGATCGATCGCCCGACCCACCGACCGACTGATTGACCAACCAACGGACCGATTGACCAACCAACCGACTGACTGACCAACCAACCGATTGATTGACCAACCAACCGACTGACTGTCTGACCGACTGACTCACAGATCGATCGACCGACTAACTCACAGATCGATCGACCGACTAACCGACCGACAGACTGATTGACCTATCGATTGGCCGACCGACCGACCGACTGACCAACCAACCGATTGGCTTACTGTCTGACCGACTGACTGACCGATCAATAGCCCGACCAACCGACTGTCCGACCGATCGACCACGTGACTGGCAGACTGAGTAACGAAAGGACGGGAAGACAGACTGATGGATAGATGAACAATTCATAAGAAGAAAATGAAAGAAGAGAAAAACAACAAAAGGAGACGCAGCCATATATAGGTATGAAAGGCACTTACTCTTTCACCAGCTTCACCTTTGTCGCCTTTTTCTCCTCGCATGCCTGGTAGACCCTAGAAAATATAAACTTTACATGAATGTGGTTCGGATTCTTATCAAATATGCTTTTATGAAATTTTGTAGTTTGCTATTACACTGCTCGAGTTTCAGCCGCTTGAGAGACCATTTTCTACACATACTAGTGCTGACGATCAATAACCTTAAAAGTCTTATGGAGTGCTTTACAGTTTGCGTATATCTCAAGTATGAAAAATTAAGACTAATGTTTCAGGACGTCTTCCCATCGTTATCCACCGCTGTTCCATTTCTGTTTCGAATCTTTTCATCATCTTTTAATCTCTGCATGTTCGCGATTTAGTTCCTTTTAAAATTCTGATCTACGGTTCGTTAAAATATTCAGATCTATACATCTCTTTTTTTCACCTCTACAAGATCGTTTCATGTACAAGAGTCCTTGTCGAACTGAAGAGTATGAAACTTTATTCAAAACGCAAATTACTTCGAAGTTTCTTGTATCACTGTGTATTCGGTTTCAGCGAATTTTGAGCTATGCATTCCTTACAACTATCTTGTTTAGTACATAGCTCTGACTATATTCAAAGTATTTTTTCATAACGTAAAAAAGTAACCATAACCACTGAAATTTATTCAAGTTCGTCCAGGGTAAAGTGTTAATCGTTGCTTTGAGATATCAAGAAATAAACACGATGTGATAGCAAGTTTTTAAGAATGGTGTTAACAGCAACGGTATTTTCTCTGTGGTATAAAAACGGCTGGAAAAAGGCTAACGGCAACAAGTTTTGCCGTTTGCCAATAGCGTCATGCGTAACTTGGCCAGCGAACAGAACCACATTATAACGCTTCAGCCAAGGCGTTTCTTAGCCCGAGAGAACTAATGAAGCATTAAGCATCACGCACCGGCGAGAGTCAAGCACTGAAAATTACTAGTGCCAGGCTCCTGGTAAACCTCTCCCCAACCCGTCTCTAATCTTCTCGCGGGCGTAAAAATGCGCGTCCAACATCGCTAATAATGGAGACCTAAGCGTAACCTTTCTCAAGGTTTTATGTATAAAACATATCAAAACTTGGGGACATTTGTCAAAACTCATCCAAGTTTTATGGAACGCAAAACTTCAGCTGGTAATCGAAATGTTCACGTTACCCGTGGTCCTTTGTGGCCCGTCATTCCCGCCATTCCTTCAATTCCTCTGTCTCCCTGAAATAGTGAAGCACACAAAAGTATAGGGACAGCACGCTATAGTCTAAGTTTTATAAAAGTTACATGCTTGTCAGAGCGCCATGGTTAATCATTTCATGTGTTACGTCCATTCAGTAACCCTGAATTTTCAAGTTCGCTAACCCTCCCCTCCTACCTTTTCTCCCATAACTCCGGGGGTACCTCTTGGTCCGTCCGGTCCTTGGGGACCCTGAAAAGAAACAAATATTTTTGTTTAAAAAAGGCAAGGTTAAGGGTCGATGTTGAGCCACAATACAATAAATGCGACGGAGAAGTCAACTCCTTTATTGGATATTGATGCTTTGGTCGAATCATTTCGATTACTCTCAGTGATCTTGCGGAAATAGTTTCCCATTCCTGCGCCGTCGAAAGAATAGGGACCTTTTGCAGTTAGGACGGCAGAGCCAAGGAAGACGTCGACTTAAAAAATAAATATATATTTTTCGTTGGAATTTCGCGAATGACTGGATGTGTTTACCTTCTCTTACAGCGCCGCAAGTTAACCTCAGCAAAACGTATGAGAGCGGCTTTGAGTTCCAAATGGAAACTTAAATAATTTGCCGTTGGGGTTTCCTTTCTTGGACCACGCAAATTTTGATGATATCATGTTGTCATTTTACAGAGGACGGCTAAGAGATGTACACAATTTTGAAAAGTACGTATTGAGCTATTGTTCTGCTAATTAGATCTTTTACTTTGCCACGTCCTCGTTGCCGTCGCCGTCGTGGTTTGCTAAAGGTCTCTGGTGTCATTTACACGGAGAGCCTGGGTTAGAATAAGGTTAGGCAATTGGAGCCATCCCTAAATGTCGCGTGGCGTTCAACAACAGAATCTAATTATCCATCAGTAGAGTCAACGGCGAAGTCGGTAAGTCACCATCTACGTTAATAGACAAATGTTGAAAAATTGAAGTAAACTAGCGACGACAGCCAATCAGAGTAACGATAGATATTACAAAGAACCAATCAGAGCTCAAAACGTGCAAACTAGTGACGATAGCCAATCAGAGTAACCATAGATATTACAAAGAACCAATCAGAACTCAAAGCGTGCCCGAGGCGTGGTAATATTCACATGAACAAGGCGCTATCGGTTTTAGATTTTCATCTGATTACACAAGATTCACCGACCAATAAAAAAAGAAGTTTAGGAAAACCATTGCATTCCCTGATTACTTTCGACAGAGAGAAAAATATTCACGTATCATTTACAGCTTACCGGTTTTCCCGGTCTACCAGGTGGACCTCGGTTGCCTTGGTTACCAGGTAAGCCCTGTGAAACAAAATCAGGACACAAGCAGCTAAACGGTTAGTTTTTGGCTCAATCAGCACTAAGAAAATGTGACATGGATTAATACAATTTTCTATTGTTAAAGTTGTCAGTGGATGCTATCGGATTAAAACATCAAAAAACGCAAATTATGTTTGTGTTGTCAAATGCAGGATAGTAGTATTCCAAAACACACAAACAAGAGGGCTCATGATCGCACCGCAACTATCACTACTGAGATACTACGATTGCCCTGATTGGTCAAAATATATCGCTTATTGCACTGGTAAAACCTTGGTTATATCATAAAATGCTATAGACCGCACTTTCCAGCGGTTTACCGGCGAAATAACCCACTTGGGATGTTGGGAGAAGCTCGGGACTTTCCTTGTGTTTTTCCAACATCCTACGTAGGGGTTATCGGAAAACCAATAGAAACTGCGGTGTAATGCTTAAATTACATACACTAGATTGTAAAAACGTTGACCCGGAAAAGCATGATCCATGAACGATGAGACCCGACGGCTAATCTCTTACCCAGATCCTACCGTGTAACTGAAATGTACAACCGCTTTTTTGGTCGTGGAAGGTCTGGGTACGAGATTACCCAAACGTCTTCATGGGAGATGTTCGCACAGTTACTTAATCAGTGCTTTACTTTCTCCATTATTTATGGAAATTCGTTCTTTATGATAATTCTTCTCTTTCAGGAAAGCGCGGATAGCGTCTTCATTCACCATGTGCAGCTACTTGATATATCGCTTGCCAAATAACTCGCTGTCATTGCGCCTCTTTACTTAGAGAAACCAAACTTAAATGCAGAGGATAACACTAAGCTTACGAGTCATTGTGAGGTAGAAATAACTCGACTAGGACTCTAGGCAATGACTATAAAAAAATATCGGAGTGATCACGTAATTAAGCAATTTCTATGTTCTTTTTAAAATCATTGTTGTCATTCATCTTTTCCCTATTCAGTACTGCCGGACGCGTATTAAGTAAAGAAAACGATGTGTTCCTTACCGGGGCTCCTGGATCTCCCTGGGATCCCTTCTCACCGGCGTTCCCTGGACGTCCCTGCAGAGAGAAGATTACAGCAGGTTCAAACAAGATTACATCACCTTCAACTAGGACTATTCACGACATTTCTCGATAAGAAAGATTTTCGTTCCTTTCTAAAATATTATTTTCTTTAAACTGAAGCACATTGCGAGAGTTCATGAAATGTAGACAGTCGTGCAACAAACAGAACCAGATAAACATTATTGCTCACAATATTAATATCAATATTAGACTGTTGGAAAGTGCCAAGACATTATAACGTGTCTTCTTAAGTATGATGAGTGTGTAAAGCACTTGGTAAAATAAAACGTTGTCTGACGATTTGGTAGTGGCAGGAAATTGCAAAAAAAATTTTCGCCTTTTTTCTCCCCCCAGGTAAATGAACTGAAGAAAAAAGAACGGCTAAGGAAAAGAGTTTGGGAATAACACGTTTAATCCGCATTCAATGCATAAATTATTTGTCTAACAGATCAGAATGGAGTGGGTGAATGAGTGAATTTCAGGTCCTTACATAAATCCTATAGTATGACTATGTCATACCATGGGGTGAAAATGACACAGTTCATCTACATCAGCTCCATTACTGAACCAGAGGCTTTTCTATACTCACCGGTTGTCCACGTGCTCCTCGCTGTCCCCGTGGGCCTGGCTCTCCCGGCTAAAAAATGTTAACAAATAAAAACAAATAAATAAAAAAGAAAAACTAGAAAAAATGCAATGAACCGAGAACTAATCGGCAGATATCTCAACAGTATCTCCCTGTAGCTAGAATAAGAAAATTTATCTCTTTGTGGTTCGTTACTTAAAAAACACGCAAAACACAGCATTTTGTTCGAATTCGCCATGGCTTTGTGTTAACCCAAAGCGGAGACCCCTTCAGAGGTTACGATTGGTTAAAAAACTCACCACTGCGGGGGGCTCGACTACAAGACCGCCCGCTACAGGGCCTGGGCCCTTTTCATTCGATCCTTGAAGTCTATTCCATCTCTGAAATAACAAAAGTTCAAAATGTATAATTGAAGAGGTGAACATACCCAAAATCAGGTCTGACAAACAGCGAGTCTCAACGAATAGGTAAATTTGGACAATTTTGTTTATTTGTCCCTTAATCGTGTAAAATCTAGTTTGCGTTGTGCACTTTGTGGTTGTACGAGAAAATGAAAGCTTCTTTGTCTTTAGGTGCCGATTTCATTCATTATTCCTTTTTGATCTTTGATTACACAATTTCAGTGGTTGTAAGAGCGCTTTTCAATTGAGCAAACTATGACCAAAACCTTAGTTATCTATCAGAACTGACCAAAGAGGAGCCAATTAGAAGCCAGAGCTAGCACGTGTAATAGCCGTCCTTAGGTGCAGGACAATGCGAGTGTCACCATTGGTTTTAGTTTACCGTGTGATTGGTTGAGAGATTGGCACTAGATTTCTAAACTAATCCGGTACCATATGATTGCAAGCTAACGCGATCTCGGACTACTTTCAACACTCAATAAAATGCTCCAGAAACTAGGGATGGCGATTTCACTTACGACATAGATTCCGTCACCAGGAGGCCCTGGAGGGCCGGGGGGTCCAGCTGTACCGGGAGATCCCGGAGGTCCCTGTAAAATAAAAAAATACCCTATTACCTAGTCCAGAATATTCACCAACAACTTTTTTCTCTTCGATACTTTACCAGACTGGTTTTCATCTCATATAACAGTCAAGGGTCAAATGAGTGTGTTTGATTTTCTTGTTACCTGTTAGGCAATTGTCGATCAAGTTTTACTTTGACAACAGTTCGCAGCCATATTCAATAGTTTCCCGATGAAAGCGCGGCGCTGATAATCAGCAATATAACAAGCAATATTTTGATAACCGACAAAAGCAAATATGTGCAGTGACATCACCATTCGTAAGTGCTATTATCTACAACAGATAACTTGTTTTGTTACCTAACTCATGGAAAGGTCGCGCCCTCAGTCTTGCAAAAATTGCGCTGTTTAGCGATACAGGAAATGCTGCAGGCTCAGTCAGGTTTAGAAAACCTACGATTTGTACTTTTTTTCCTTAACGGCCTTAACGGCCTTAACGGCCTTAACTCTTGGGCTGTTTGTAACGTCTGTGAAAATGATGTCAGAACATACCTTTGCTCCCTGATCACCTCTAGGCCCACTGTAACCTTTTTGACCAACCGCCCCTTGCGATCCCTGACAAAGAAAAAAAGAAAACGCTTTCTTATAAAACAAACAAACAAAAGACAAACGGCAGAGAAGGTTGGGTCATTTAAGAAGTTAACCCTTTAACTCCCAAAAGTGATTTATATGTAACTTCTCCCTGTAATATCTAAACATTATCCAGCAAACAGGTCATGAGAATACTCAAACTTATAAGGTGGAAGTTGTTATCTTGATCTAACACCAAATTCTTGTAACTTATTTCCAAGGAAATGGATAGCGGTTAGAGGGGAGAATTGACAATCAGATCTTGGGAGTTCAAGGGTTAAGACATGACGGAACATACCGTAGGACCCGGAGGTCCGGGAATTCCTCTCTCGCCTTTGATCTGAAAATAAAAACATCTTGAATGAATAATACAAACGTTTTTGTCCCGATTCAATCACTTTTGATATGGATCGATCCACACCGAAAGTGGATATGGATGCTACGTGGATGCGATCCACTTCGAAAGTGACTACATCGTGAGACAAACCATCATACTACGTGCAAAAGAGCATTCAATATCGTTAGTCTGTTAACAAACAGAAAAAGGTGTATATAAAGACAAGAAAGAAAGATGAAGGGACAATCACGAAAAATGCGTACAGTGAGGAAACTGGAGCGAATCAGACGAAAGGCGCGATAGTAGAAGCGGAGTAGAAAAAGGAAGCAGGTTTGAGTTGGGTCGCGTTCTTTTCTTTTATATGCCTGGTTTTTTCGTTTGGCCTCCATCATCGCGCTATTTACTATCGCACTTCGTTTTACACACCAAACGCTTCGATCACACTGCAAAGAGCCTACTTACATTTACAGAGAAGCTGATGTTTCAATCTCACCCCATGATTAGCTCAGTGTATCACTCGTCGCATGGATTTCTGGCCGAGACATTGCGTCATATAGTTTATCAGTAATTACTCAACGACGCAAAATTTTGTTGCCCTTATTAAGTGTTTTTTCGCGACACAGACTACTAAGCCGATTACTTACATATCTGACGTTGTTGATGATCTGCACGTTACTGTCACGGCGCTCTTGGGCAGCACCACTGAGGAAAGGCGCGTATGGCAGAGGTTTGTCACAATCGGTAGTAAACATTTTGCAGTAAGAAAGAACTCTGAACACATCTGGGGCTACTATGAGCTGCTGTAAAGATCCCTGAAAAAGAAAAAAGAAACCACAAATTAGATTAAACCACGAAAGTAAATATGCTTTTCGCGTTAGATGATTGGCTAGTTCGAAAGTGATTGGCAAGTACAATTCAACTCTCAGTACCTGAAGAGACATAAGCGAGCACCAAGAGTGAAACTTCTGACCAATTTTTTTTATATATTAACAGAAATGAACAAATTATTTGTTTCTGTATGGTATATAATAAAACAAATATTCCACTCAGTGTCGGTAGAAGTATTGGATATTTACTGTGCCACGAACCACCTCCACTTTGCAAACACTGTATACAAGTCGAAAAAACATTTTAGCTTTTACCAACTACATACTCAATAAAGTATATCTCCCCAAATTGGAAAAAACCGAATAAAAAAACTTGCTTGTGTGTTTCATTATTTGTGATTATTTAAGATGTTCTGGAAGTTTTCAAACTGCACTATACATAACTGCTTCTCTGCAGTTAGGTAAACTTTCAAAACCTCACTTGTACAGATCATGAACCCCATGCCGAATCGACTTCCATGTCAGGTCTAGTTGTATCCTTACCTGGAATTGCTCCTCTAGTCGAACAACACTGTCTCGACCAAAACTAGGTCTAAATCCCCTGGGCCTTCTTACATGTCCTCTGGGCTCGGCACAATCTAAAGACAGCGTCACGTGTTTCTTTCTAACTGCTATGGCCACTCTGTGCCACGCCCCATCAGCTAGGCTTTGGTTCAATCTCACTCGAAATGGGGCCTTCCCTCGTCGCCTGTATTCAAACTCCAAAGGGCTCAAACTAAAAGATAGACTTTGCTCGGTGTCCATTATCGTGAACAAGTCTGCTGTGTTGTCAGGATCCACTTTTACAGTGGCGAATAAAACAAAATCTTCAGGAAAACCATTAGGAAAAAGCGATTCCGCAGTGGTGTTTATCGTAGCACTCGTGGACGATAGGTCGTACGCAACATCCTCAACTTCTTGGTCGCTTGAAGAAGGGAGTGGTCGGCTTGGACAAAGACCAACCGTTTCGATCTCGAGCTCGCTCAAACTCCATTGAAACTCTTGCACAAAATCCGCTAAGTCAGCAGTATCTGAAATTTTATGGAAGCAGGAAGAGGCACGCAATAAAGCCCTGTAACTTTGACATACCACCTTTGACGCAAAAGGTGTCCCTACAATATACTTTGTATGAATAATGGTGTCCTCCCATTCTCTTGCAGTGAAACAATGACCCTCCCCCGGCTCTCTCCCACCCCACCCCACCACCTTCTTTAAAAAGTCTTACACTTAGTAACAATGAAAGGATAACGGAAACCTCAATATTTGGAAATCAGTAAATGTTTTCGCTCCTTTTGGCCTTCTTACCCTGAGTTGGCTTATCGCTTTTATTGAAGCGCATGCAGTTGAATGAAATTGATCTAATTCCTTCATATTTGCTCGTTTGATTTTTTGTCCAAATTTCTAATCTCTGTTTCCAGTATCTTCAGATTCACCCCCACGGTGCAGTGACACTTCGTGTTGCGCGTGACGGAAATAAAGGTTGCACAGTGGTGTGAAGGTCGCGCAGACTGGTGTGACAAATCCGGACGCTGAGATTTTTTTCTGAATATTTTCCGAAGAGACTCGAAAGGCTAATTCTGACGAAGTACGTGGAAATGTTTTGTTACAATGAATATAATTTTTTTTTCGCGCCACTTTGAGTCAGAAGTATTTCCTCTCTGATCTTCCAACCAAATTATCATTCTGATCTCTCAAAGAACAGACATCCTTCTCTCAATACGCGGTACAAATATAATCCGCGAATCGTCTACGAAAATTTGGTCACCAAGCTAATGAAAATGTCATCATGAACGTCTGTATACACACATAACAAATAAGAGCAATTAAAAACATCACAAAACCAAAACAAATAGAAACAACAATAATTTGGAGAAAAATAAAGTCTGTATCAACGTAAATGTTTCAGTCCTTTCGTAGCGTACACATTTCTTAAAAAGCGAGGATTCTTTTTAGAATCACTAATACTGTATCGTTATCACAAACCAATTTACATTAACTAATGCTAAGAGTCGTAGATAACTAAAACATTCTGGGACATCTTAGTTATGTGATTCGGCATCCTCTATGCGTATCGTCTAACAGCACGTCGGGCCTTCAATTTTAACAATGATTGACTGTCCCTTAGCGTAAGCGATCGAGTTTCGTTTCTCGTGCAGAGTATAATGAAAGCTCAATCCTTAAATGAATTGATATCTTGGCTATTTAGAACATTAAAACTCTACTTGGAAAGGCTTATGAAGCAGTTCACCTCACGAACATATTTCTAATGGTTACATAGATATCAGGCTTGAGAGTTTTCAAAGACAATGCACCATTGTTGGGGTTAAATTGCTCATTTAGAACCTCCATCAAAGAAGCAGTAATTGTTCATCTCTGTCCGGATCAAAGTGATAGTGCGCACTCGAATGAAACGGACTTCTATTTTTATGAAAATTTGTGAACGTAAACTAAAATATTTTGGAGGTCTCGTTTTGATATGAACGTTTGTTTACAACAACGAATTTTCAACACATAATTTGATGAGCAGGACCTTAGAACATTCACCAATTCTTATAATGACCCATCGCTCACACTGAGAAGCTTAGAATGAAGATTTTGCTAAAAAAAATTGATTATAAAGCTAGAAAGAGACATTAATGTTTTTTCCTTCTGTTGCCCTTGAGGAGTACAGAAAGAAAGAGTTGTTATTATAACCTATTCCCGCTCACGCGATCTTGGAACTGATCAGACAGGAAATGTGAAAATACTGTTCGATATTTTCTGACAAAATTTATTAGTATTCTGAAGGAGATAAATGCTCTTAAGTATGCTTAGTCTATTCAGAGAGAAAATTGGAGAAGACAGTCAGAGATTCGCACAATGTGCAGACAGTCCTGCTTTGTAATGGGCAACATAAAGGATTCATTTTGAAATTAACCACTGTGATTGCATTACCAGCACGCGGACTGCTGGAAAACTGTTGATCTTACACTTCTGTATTATGCTTTTGCTCAGTTCCTACCTACAGTTCGTTTATAGAGGTCATTAGACTATTTACTTAGGTGAGGATAACCTGGGTAAGAATAAAAATTAGCATCAACATACCGGGGTGAATGGCAACGTCTCGGGACGAAACTCCATGATTCATGAGCACGCATAATAAAATAGCCGTGCTAAGGCCCTGCAAACTGAAACACATACAACATAATTTAATGACAGAGCGAGCCAGTTTGCGTTTAAAACAATAAAAACGCTTAACTAACCAGGGAAACATGGCTGGCGTCTGTTTCGGCCCTGTGTGGAGACCGCCAATGCTGCAATTTTATCCGCGGTATAAGGCGAGTTCAACACAGGGATCTTTAGTGGTGTAGTTATGTAGGATCCATTGTTGGAATAAGGCTTGGCCACTGATTGGCCAGTTAAGACGCGGGTAATTTTACATGTGATCGAAGTGCATAACCAGAAAAAAGAACGTTAGATGGTATATTTCAGTTGCGTCCGCATAAAAAATTAAAAAATAATAATAACAACAAAACTTTGTCTCGAACACACATGAAACATAAAGCCCTTCAAATATACTGAACGTGACCGTAGTTGTGAGACTTGAATGTCACTAGAAACCAAAATGCGATCAGAAAAGATGCTGCAAACCGCATACCAGAGACCTTCTGTCGCCCGCACTTTGCTTCCTGCAATTTGCCTCCGCGCACAGGATTTATGTTATTAAACGTCCGACACAACCATTGAGAGCTAACGGAACTGTCCAAGGCATATGGAACCTTTCAAAATGAGCCCAAGTCGTAAATGATAGAGAAAAACTGTCCGGGCTGGATTGAAGCGTTTGAAAACAAAGAGAGCCCTACATGGTGATAGGGAACTGCCAGAAATCAGGCAATACGCGATGTAAGACGGAGTCCATCGAGTGCACATTTCTTGACCCTTAAGACGGAACTGGTCGAAGATGACGGATCCCCAGAAAAGCGCACGAGAAATGCAATCAAATGTATTCTAAAATCAGAAGGAACTGCTCGAAAGCAGACGGAAAAGTTCGTAAGCCGACTTGACCGTTTAGAATAATATGAAAGAAGGACAACCACAGCCCAACCAACATTCGATTGTAAGATGAGAGTCTACATCTATAGCACAGTCCGAATTCTACAGTTAGTAGTCTCTTAAATGTGACAACTTTCTTCAATAAAGTGAAACCGAGCACGGAGTAGTCTCCTCCCCAAACGTTGTTTGGTCTCGTCACGCAACGCACTCTCTTCCCCTTTGGTGGGGCAGAGAGTGCGTTGCGTGACGAGACCAATAACAGTTGCGATTTGACTGAACGCGAAGCAGTCTGATATCAGATTGAACCACCCTAAACTGTTCAAAGTCAGACGAAACTGTCTGTAAATGGACGGAGCCAATCTAAAAATCCCCCGAAATCGACCATAACCGTTTAAAATCGTCTAAAATAAATTGGACGGGGCATCCAAAATCAAAATTGTAAATGAATTGGGAATCGTTCCCAGATCCTGTTGATATGTGAGCGCGAGCAGAGCGCGAGGTCTAGCAGCTTCGGAAGAACTTTCTTTACCAGTTTATCTCAGCCGTAAGTTTTCGCGCCAAAAAAGGACAAAAAGTGATATTTGGGTTAGCTACCCAAAATGGCCGGGAAAAAGAAACGTAAGCGTCAGATTGAACTAAGAAAGAAAGATTCCAAACAGAAAAAAAACACGGACTGTGCTTCATTTGAAGATAAGAAACCTAAATTTGATGATGAGCTGAATAAACAGTTTGATGAAGATTTACAACAGTGGATATCAGGAAGGAAAGATGAGGGCGAAAGCAACAGCGTTTCAGAAGACCCAAGCTCAAGTCCACGGAAAATGGAAGCCGAGGAGTGTAAATATATCCCGCCCTTTACCCGAAAGTCTAAAATAATCTTGAAAACAGATGGAAACTCTATTTTTCCTGGTGTGGGTTCGGAGCGAACTAAACAGCCTTGGAAGGATAGAGAACGGAATTTTATTGATACTCAACGAAGCCCACGGAGTCAGAAGACTCGCGTTGAGGAGTCTTTAACTAACGACTCGCCTAAGGTGTGTTTCCAATAGTAAAGCGTCAGTTACCAGTTCTATTATCATTTTTTTTCCCGCTCTTGGCCACGTGGGTATGATCTTTCAAAGTCCAATATTTTATTTATTATCTGATTACGTTTAAAAAACACAGGAAACCCAATTATATTTCAGCTGTTGATCTGGGTTTTTTTTCAGTGAAATCCTCGAATACCTGGTAACCGAATTTTTTTCTTAAATTGTCATTCAATAACATGAAAAGTTTTTGAAATGATTTTGACGCATTCTACGGCCTCTATCGGTTATGTGTAAAATGTTCATTTATACGTTTTGAATATTGGAATAAAGTTGTATGGTTTTTGGAACACTTTCCTCACTTTATCAACCTCGATCTTAAGACTAAGAGGCCTATACTTTAAACTGGATGTTACACTGACTGGGATTATTTTCCCAGCAGAGAAAAAAAAAAGAGTCGGAGGAAGAAATGCAGGTACATGTTGAAGGAATGGAAAGAGTGGTGATGTTGGGTCATGAAAAGAAAGACTTACCTCTTGCCAGTACGAGTTGGACAGTAGCTGCTGATGTAAAAGGCAAAAATTCACTAACTTCAAATGGAACCCTTTTATCTTGTCCTTCAAGTACCATCCAGGAAGATGTTTCAGCCATTGTTATGCAGGTCATAGATAACCTCCTGGAAACCGTTATTAGACATGGAAACCAGTGTAATGATGAAGCCTTGGAGGAGCAGATGGTTGAGGCTGGTTCTCAGACACTACTTGCAGATGTTAATGAAGCTGTGGCAGCAGCAACAACAGTAATGGAAGGGCAAGAGCATTGTTGTTCAGCTATAAAAACTACAATGATAGGAGAGAGAGAAACACCAGCAACAATTTGTATGCATAAGGACAAGGTTGGTGCAGTTCCAGTCAAGCCAGTTGCTTCAAAACATGCTATTGAAGAGTGCCATGAAAATGTGGTAGATGGTGGTGTACCAGCCTTACAAAATTTCCGTCCTATGTTGGAAAATGAACTCAGGATGGAACAGTGGGAGGAATCTGATCACAAAAAATGTCATTATTATGGTGTAGTCAGCAGTGAAAGTGTATGTGCCCATGAAGTTGCAGATAAACTAAAATATCAAGGAGTAAATGGCTTAACAGTCAGCAGGCCAGAAGTTCAGAAAGAAGTTTTGTTTGGACAAGAAAGCTCATCAGGAAGTGAAGGTATCCAAGCTGTAAATACATTGGTACCATCAATGGATACCCAGCTCATCTCTGCACAGTCTTTAAAAGACTGTGTTCAATTTAATTTGGGAGTAGGACAATCCCCAACATCCAATGCAAATATAAACTCAGCAAGAGAGAAAAAGGTAAATGTGGAAAAACAGATGGTTGTAGACAAGGTATCCTGTGAAAATTGTTCTGATGTGTGTGGAGCTAATGATTCGTTGCAGCCCATTAATGAGCAAGGTCTCGACCAGATGGTTCCAAATTATTACAAAAACAGCACTGTGATATCGGTAAGTTTTTTACCTCTTGTTCTTCATTGTTCCTTTCTAGTAGAATATAACACCCACCATTTTTCTGCCCTTCATCACAAAGTCAAAATCACAACTCAGCAGTTGTCATTGGAATATGCAAACTTGTTGAACAGGGTACTCCAATTTCATCATTTTAGAGGTTGTGTGGCTTTGAAAAGCCACAACTACTCTCAGTAGGCAAAGCTCCTTTTTAACTTGTAATTTATTATGTGTAGCATTCACTGTCCCATTTAGAATGAAATTCCTGAAGTAACAGAATCTACAAGAATTTCTAAGATGAAGAAGATAACTGTGGTTGTTGACAAAAACATTGAACATGTAACAGTAGTCCAAAAAGGGCCCACCAAGCCTGGAAATGGTTTCAATCTGGAGTCCTCTCAGTCCCGTTGCACTGCTCAGGCATCAGAACTTGCTATGGAGGAAAATTTAATAGAAGACCTGACTGTGACTAGTGCCCAGTCGACTGCTGAAGTTGAGCATGAAGAGTTGATTCTAGAAACTGAAAGAGAAGAATCTTGTGACATGGTGCAGAGCAAAAGCATAGAGAGCCCAACAAGGAAGCTGGAAGGAGGGTTCTCCTTTTCTGGTTCTGATGCTAACCTTTTGGAATTTGGTAGTGTAATGGAATGTACAGACTCTCAGCTGGTTCATGTTGATGAATACTTTGATGAGGAGCAGCCACCCTTAAGGCCTTTGAAACATGATCCCAGGTAATTGGTCAAAGTGTAGTCACTTGAGATGCTATTTGCAGTTATTTCTTGGTTTCTTACTTGGGAGATTTACCCACCTTTCCACCTAGGGCATAATTCCGATCAAGATTTAGGGCAGGAATGGGTGAGATTAAGGATACTAAATTACCAGACTTGATCAGAAACTAAACACAACAAAAAGATGAGAGAATTCAGATACAAAGCTATTTAAAGTCCTTGACAATAATGAACTCCTTTTTTGTGAAATGATTTTCCTTGCATTTGATGTATTGTGTACTTGTTAACATATTTGTTTCCATTATTTTGGTCAGTAATGTATATAGTGATGTAGGAGGTGACAGAGCTGAAGGTGATGTGGAGCTTCCATCTGACAGAGGAATGATCAAGGGATTGATCAGTGAGCTGTCAACATTGAAGTATGCACCATATATACATGCCAACACCTTTCTATGCTTGGGTTAACTTAATTTGTTTGAATTTACCTGTAAATTGTTCCAGATTCATGCCCAACTTGAAGCAGTATTTCTGAGTCAGATGCATGAGAAGTATACAACAGTGTTGTTTTCCCTTTGAAAAGTTAATAAGCTTTATGATATTGTTAAGTAGCTAATTGCAATCTGGACACTTTTGTGTACTAACCAGATTTCAGTAAGGGCCACTCTGCTGTTATAAAGGGTCATGTTTTTATTGTCCAAATGAAAGCTCTTCATGTTGTCTTATTGACACTGTGTCGTAGGCTAAAACACTTTTTTGCTTATATCTCTGTTATTAGTAAGTTTTACCCAAAATCTAATTTTACCACACTGAGTAGCTGGTCAACAAGTGTTGAAACCAAGTTAAAGTTAGCCTTTAAGGAGAATCTTAAGGGCACTCTGTAAGAAAAAAATTCTTGTATGAAAACAATGTGATTTGATGTTACTATATGCCTCCTCACTAAAAATCTAACTTGAAAGTTTACTAGCAGTTTGCTTTTCATTTTAGCAAATTTATCATTGGAGCATGGAGAGATTTAGAGAGCCAAAGGAAAAAGAGGCAAGCAAGACTGAAATCAGGAAAGGGAAAAAAGTTGAACTAAGAAGAATTGTTATACTTTACTCACATTCAAATTACTATTTACATGTTTGGTGTTTTACTCCTTGTAATTTAAAAGAGCATTCCTACAAGAAATTGACTTTGCAACTTGGTTTATGTGCTATTGGGATCAACTATTTCAACTACTACTAGCATAGGTTGAAGCAGTTCAAATTTCCAAATGGAAGAATTGAGCTGCTAGACAAGCATTGAGAAGATACCATAGTTAGTTTATCTATTGAGAGACTTGGGAGATAAGCAGTGGGCACCCCTGAGCATTTCTTTTTGTTTACAGAGAGCATCACTAGCAGCAGGAGACTACACCTGCCTGTTAATTGTTGTCAAGAACAGTAATAGTGGCCCGTTGTGCTTCTTCAACCATTTCAACCTGGTGTGATATGGGTTTGAAATATTCAAATGAGGGTGATTTTCCCTGTTGCAATCTGAACAAAATGAACCCAATCAGCTTTGTATGGTTGATCCCGATAGAACATGACCTTAGTGGATACTAGGTTGATTCTTGTGTCAGTGTAACATCTTAATATAATTTAAGCTCTTTGAAGTTGAGTTTCTTTGGATAGTACTTAAATTTAAATTGTGATATTTAGTTAATTTCTCTCTCTTTGATGAAATATTACAATAGACAACTTCAAGCATCAAGGGAATTTCTCTTTTTCTTTTGTTAACTTGTTTAAGCTTCAGGGTGACAAGAAATTGAGTTTTAACAAAAATAAAGCATTAATCAAGATTACTGTGGTTGAATTTATTGGATCAGTCAACAATTTAATAAATCAATTCCTATGTACATTCTAATTAATAAAAACATAACAATGTAGTTTTCTCTTAATAGTGTAGATTTGCAAAACAGTTCCAATGATGATACAGCACTAGAAAGAGTCATTTTTATGAAACAAAAACCTGAATAGTATTTTTATAACTTCCTCTATCTGAAGTTTTCTCTCTCCTTTATAACAGAGATAATCTGTTGGCCCAAAATCATTTCTAGACATCTTGTATGACAAGTAGCAGAGGCAAAAGGTGGTAAGTTAAACATTGTTTCTCTGTTGTATGTCAGTTAAGACAACTGAGGATGAGTCAGCATTCCCCCAAATTGTATTGCCAGACTGTCACAACTTTAAGTGTATATTAAAGTAAATTTTCCTAAACTGTGAACCACATAGAAGGGTTCATTGCAATTTTTCACACAGCTTCCAAGCCCATGCTCTGCCTCTAAAGTGGAGCTGAGTGAGCAGCAAACATCAGTTTATTAGAGTGACATTTCAACAAATGCTACAGGTTTTATCTATGATGTAGCTCAAAATAATTTGGGATTTTTTGCACAAATGCAGTTTTCTAGGCCTTCCTTCATTTTTATAATGATATGAATATCAATATCAATTATTAGTTTACCACATGGTCTGGACTTAGAATGTAAAAAGTGCCAGTGTAGCAATCAGAGCCACTTGCACAAACAGGGACAACTGAGGATACATACAAGGAATGATGCCTGGAGGTCTGTAGATTGAGAAAGACACCTCAGACTGAGAAGGAATTTTTCTGTGGGCTACTTTCTTCCACATTTGGTTTGTTCTTCCTGTATGGCTTAATTCATATTGGTAAGACAATTACAAGACAACTACATGACTAATCAAAACTATAATAAAATTCTCAAATGTGATTGGTAATTACACCCTATTTGGGCACTGATAGGACATTGTATGGGTCATGCTTGTAATTGGGCATTATAATAGAGCAGTTGACATGTCATACCTGTGTTGGTAGACAATATGCGCATCACGCGTTTTGC